GAGGCTTTATACTGTATTGTATACTAAGTATGAGTAGATTCCGTCGTCCAACAAGAACGATATTATGTTCAACCGTTTAGCCACCGACAAAAAAAGAGCCGTGTCATATGACTAACGCGTGTGTTTTATGAATGAATCTGTATTTACATGTAGATGACATCAAACTCTCAAACAACAAACAAAATCTCCATTTAATAAATATTAAGTAGTTATCTGAACCTAAAAAAGTTCAGACCTCTATTGCATTTTTTCTAATGTGACTTGGAAGCTAATAAGCTGGCAGCTCACCTGATTGTGAATGGCAACCTTTACCTATCTACATGAACAATATGACAAACAACATATCATAGTCATGTAAACCCCGTGGTACCCCTGATATGTTGCCAATACCAAGGTAGTGTGTAGATTTCAATGCATTAGAAGATATCATGCGCGTACACGCATGATCTTCTAATGCATTGAGATGATTAAGAGCGTGCATGGCAATAGTGAGAGAGTAGTTCATGCACGGGATTTTAATTTAAGATTTTCATTATTACAGTCTTTAAAAAAAAGAAGTTGCGTTTCTTGCCAGTTCTTGTCAATTGAATCTAAAAAACATAATATAAAAAAATTACGTTCATAATTTTTTTAATTATTTTTGATTTCATTTGATCTAATTTTACGACTATTCGTGAAGAAAACTTGATCCTCGAAACGATACAGAGTTTACAGACCTACTTGGCCGCTGAATAAAATGAATCAGAATTCCATTCACGTTCATCTCCGCAAGTGGTACAAATGTGGCAATATTATTATTGTGTATACAGGCTGTCCCAGAACTCAACGTCAAGTCGAAACGGGGTGACAGGACTGATTGCAATCATCGTGAGAAAAATCAGAAAAAAAAATCTATCCCACACATTTTGAAAATTATGGGCATTTAGGGAAAACCTAGAAATTTGGTCAAACTGTAACCATTTTTCGCTTATTGTAATTAATTTTTATTATTTTTGTTCATTTAAACTTTAATGTTAAAATTAATTTTAACTAGAACCACTGTAAAAAATAATGACACAATTGCACCAAGTTTTCTAGAATTAAGATTATTTGTTAAACCATGAATTTAAAATTTTCAAAATTTGCCGACATAAAAAAATGTACTAAAAAAGTTCGCGCATTTAATCATATTAATAAAAGGAAAATAACATTCATTAACTTATGATATAATGATACCTACCTATTTGTTTTAAATTAATCGTAACGAATTCCGCAATATGTGATTGCTCGCAACATTAACAATATTAATATATTCACTATTTGTATATACTTTTATGTAATGATTAATTAAATAATCTAAAAGTAAATGGAGCATGTTTGTCTATGCGTAATACTGGAACTAGTTATAGAAAGTTAACTTGAACTCGATACTGCATAAGTAATTTATAAACCTTCATTGTAAACTAAGTTATTTATGTATTTATTTACTTACTAGCTTTTACCGCGACTTCACTCGATGGCGCTGATTTATAACTTCATTTCTGTCTGCTAGATGACGCTGAAGTAGCATTATGGTGAATTTTATTTTTGTGTTTTAAAAAAAATATTAGTTTTGTTTTAAATAAAAAGTATCCTATGATCATTCTAATACCTCAAAGAACATGTCTATAAAATTTCATGATGATCGGTTCAGTAATTTTTGCGTGTAAGCGTATCAAACATCTCTACTATCACATTTATTATAATATTAGTAAAGATCTAACCTAATTATGGTAGTCGATCCAGCGATCTTAAAAGGATCGAATGATTTTAACTTACATTTCATTTATTAATAAAATACTACATCCTAACTTACTAACGTTATTAACTACAATGACAGATATTAACATTTGTAAAAAAATGGTGAATTCTATAAAAAATATTCTCAAAGTAGCGAATTCTGAATCTAGATGAATGGCAGCCTTCCATTTTACTTTTTTCTGGTAACATTATTTCACGCACGATCTCACTGAAGCTGACAAAGTATTTAAAAGTTGTTTTTTTAATGGATGATAAAGGAATTTTTTTATTATGGATGATGATGGAATGGCGCACCCGCCTGCGCTAACGATTACGCTGGCGGGGCACCAGTGAAAGATGATAAGATGAGCATGAGGTCAGGTATGAGGATAGCGCATCGTGACAAATTCACCAAGAATTTTATTACGATGGTTTCTAGGGGAACCGCGTGGAGGTCAACCTGACATGGTACATGATAAGGGAATTGTGCACCCGCTTGCTCTAACGATATACGCTAGCGGGGTACCAGTGAAAACTGATAAGATGAGTTATGAGGTCAGGTATGAGGATAGCGCATCGTGATAAATTAACCAGCATTTTATTCCGATGGTTTCCAAAGGGAACCACATGAAGGGAAGGGAGGGAACCACATACTCCATCGTAAACACTGCCAACACACTTGTTATTTCTCTATGCTGTGGTAAGGTCATTATAGGTATGTAATATTATGTTACCTGTGTTATAGGTGACGGTAGTCATTTATGTACCATCCACCTATTTCTGTATTGTGTTATTAGAATGGAAAACAAGTGTAGAACTCTTAAACCTTAAATATACATGAACGGACATCACGTTATCATATGACACCCGTGACACCACTCATGCGTTGCTATTTTAAGAAAACGATGTCCTGCCTCTTATACTGTAATTTTAAAGCGTAATCTGCACCCTACACCGATACACAGAAAGCAAGCTGTTTGGCAGCTGAAATAGGTGATACTGAAATACCCGCGCCGGCGACTTTGCAGTACCAAAAGTAGTTTTGGTAAGATATATCTGATTTATTGTACTTTATTTGAAAACAACGGCGTTACTTTTCTTTGTTAGAAAAATGCAGGTGGCAATATTAAAACTAATTATAGGTTTAATATTGCCACCTACCACATAACCAATACGATATTTTTTTTTTATGGATGATAATGGAATGGTGCACCCGCCTGCGCTAACGGTGTACGCTGGCGGGCCACCAGTGGAGGATGTGATAAGATGAGCATGAGGTCAGGTCAGTTAGCCCATCGTGACAAATTCATCAAGAATTTATCACGATGGTTTCCAGGGGGAACCGCGTGGAGGTCGACCTGACATGGTACATTGCTAGCAATGAGATCATCAGTCCACATTACTAACAATCCCCTTTCCCCCCACCAATACGATATTGGAACATTCAAGTAAAGAGGTCATTCCTTATAAGGCCGACAACGTACTTGCAATTCCCCTAGTGTTGCGGGTGCACATGGGCGGCGGTAATAATTAATTTACTAACAGGATAGCCGCAAGTTTGTTTGTCCCCTATGTTATAAAAAAACTAATTGACATATAGGGTTATTTTGTGTGTCATAAACTGTATCTGATTTGAAACCGAGCATGAGGTTGTATTACAAATTATTACTCCATTTTTGTAAAATTCTTAGGCCATTTAAAATGTACCTTATTCCATAGTTACAGACTAAAACCGCTAAAAATTATGATAAATCTACAGTAATTTTCAACACCCATCATTATGAGCGAAAAGATCAAAATAATTAATCAATCTTTGTAGAATTAAAAAGTGAAATTCTGACCGTTTGTTACTTTTGTTCCAGACAAATGGTAAATAAAATATTGTTATGGAGTTAGGAAACTATGGTGACACTGTAATTGTATACTATTTAAGACAGTCTCATAAATAATCTATTAGGTTTATGGAAAAGTTATTAGTTATTAGGTGTATAGTCACATTAAAAATATTATTTCTTATGGTCCTATTTAGTCCTATTAAGTATGGGACTATATAGGACCATAAGAAAAAATATTTTTACACATGTGTGTAGTAATTTTTTATCACTGTCCCGTAGAACAAATTCAGTTGAGAACTTCCAGATTCTCTTCTGGTATATTTTTTCTGTAACTATTCGAATAGTGGACATGTTTAAATATATTTAAAATATCGAATATCCATTATCTGAACAATTAACTCCATACAAACTTGAAAAAGATTTTTTTTTAAGAGTTCATTGCGTATGTTATTCTGCCTTGTTTCTGATGGTTTTGTATGTGGATGGTTAAGGTTAATAAGGGCAGAGGAACGCCGAAAAAGAGGTGGAATGTAAGAAAGATATGGCAAAAAAGTGAGTCCATAAAAAGATGACTGCGAACAGGGATGAATGGAAGAAAATAACATATTACTACGACCCCAAATGCGTGGGATAAGGAAGCAGAGGTGATAAAAGATCAGAGGTATTTTCAACTAGTATTGTAGTAAACACACCAACATAACTTGTCCACATTTTGGTGAGTATAATTTAAATCAACGGTAACCTACTTCCGTCTCTCAGATTGATTTGATACCCTTTTTCCAACAACACAAAATCCGTCATAAACACAAATTGTCACACAATTTTATTTTGTATCAACTATATTTAAAACCCAACTTTTAGGTTCTGTAATTAACATTACAAAAAAAAATTATGTAATTATATATTTGTATAACCTATAGCGATATATTGAGTGGAAAAGGGATAATGTAAGGGTTAGTAATGTGGACTGATGACTTCATTCCTAACAATGTACCATGTCAGATAGACCTCCACGCAGTTTCCCATGGAAACCATCGTAATAAAACCCTGGTGAATTTGTCACGATGGGCCATTTGACCTGACATCATTTTCATCTCATCTTGTCCCGTCAGCATACGCCGTTAGCGCAGACGATTTGTCATCCATTAAAAAAAATCTTTGGCACATCTCAGCAAATTTTTTTTTAGTAAAACCGATATCGATATATTAAAACTTTATAAACGAAAGTTGTAATTATAGCATACCTTTTTTTTGTACAAACCACAAAGTTACGTGTTTATCATTAGGACTGTCCTTTCTTTGGACTAAGACCTGCGGAGCGTACTACCTACACAAGAAGTTTTGCAATAATCTGAGAGTGAAAGTCGGATGCATGACGCAGCCTCTCTCTGTCAGTGTGTACTCAAAAATCAAGTCTACAACACGCCGCAAACCTACACGCCACTATGGTAAGTAATAATATAATACTTATTATTTATTTATTTTAGTAAATGATAATAATCGTTTTTACATATAAATGTGTACATTAATTAATATTATATTACTCTAATAGATTCGGCTTCGCATGTGTTCTAATGAAGAAAATACGACAAAATTTTACCTATACATGAACTTTTTGTTCATATGACAATCAAGTGTTTTTTTAGAAAAGTTATTTAATACCTTAATACGGGTACCCTTAGTGTTCTTAGAAATTTATTAAGTGAATCTTAATATATTATTTTTGTATTGCATATTCCTTTAATTTTTATCGTTATATTTTAATATTTTTTAAACAAATGTTTTCTGTTTTTTTTTTATATCATCTTTCATACATACCTAAAGCTAATAATCATATAACAAAACAAAGAGGAATTATATAAATCGGTAGATATATAGCTGTCCTAAACTGATAGGTACGCTTAACTAAATTCGAAAATACATTTTCACTATTACACAGATAAACCTTCCTCTGGAATCACTCTATAGCTGAAAAATGCATTAAAATCTGTTGCTTATTAAAGTTACTCAAGGATAATCTAACATTCTGTTGTCATAAAAGCAGCTTTTAAGTTTATTCGTTAAATAAAAAATAAACAAATCATTGACTTAATAATGACCTAGTCTACATAATATGTTTAAACTAGTGTAAACATTCATGGCTAGGAGTAATAAATAACAATGTTACACATAAATATTTATCTCTATTTTTGTTCAATAATTGTCTAATATTTTTTTATTACATTATAGATTTATGTCTGATATCCAGGAGATTATTTGTTGATGTTTTTTTTCATTTTCGTTGTGTTGATTTATATCACATTTATATTTAGTACCCATGAGATTAATTGGTAGGTGTGTCTAATCGAAACTAGTAAATTCTAATAGACAAACGAAGGTGTGTTTTTTGTTTGTTACGTTGCACGCAAACCAATAATAATAAAATTTGGCATACAAGTAACATAATACGCATGTCGATTATTTTATCCCAATCATGACCAAATAAACAAAGTCACAGGGAGAGACAAGTCTAAAGGCATGTTTGTCAATGTATCAATAAATGTACGTTTGTAATTTAGAAAATTCATAAATAATACTAAGTAATGAATACATAAATAACCCTGGACAATTAACACACCGCCATCTAGTCCCACGGTAAACAGAGCTTGTGTTATGGGTACTAGACAACTGATATAAGTAATTAGATATAGATTCTTTTTGTGAATATATACATAACATACATATATTATATACATACATAATAGAACTTTAAATATTTTTTATTCAATAAACTTTTGAATAGTCATATTTTATTATTCTACCACTCATTCGGAACGCAGACTCATCACAACAAGAACGAGATAGAAACTTGTAAGAGTAATGCACATAACACAATAACAAGTAAGAGGCATGCAATAATCAACATAGAATCCGCTACGCGCTCATATCTAGTACAATTGAATACTATTGTCAGTGATATGAATTTTAAGGTTTTTCTATAAAAACAATATTATCATTTTATAGTAAGCTCTTTTTCACATGCTTTTACTAATACTAATATTCTAATACTAGCGAACGTACACCGATAACGCAACAGCTGTATTGAAAAAAGACCATAATATAAAAAATAAGTTTAAAAAACACAGTTTACATTTTGTAAATCCTATTCTATATTCTATTAAAAAATACTTCACTATTCTGATGCCTATTCAAAAGTGTAAGTTAAGTTAAATAAAGTTTATTTGAATAAAGGATTTTCTATTCCATAATAAACCGCTCCGATCGATCCTTCAAATTTAAACGGGAAATTACGATGGCCTGAGCCGAGGTTCCAACCCCTAGCGGTGCCCTCAGATTGAAGTCGTATACGTCAGGCAGGAATTGACCTTCAGTCGCTCCATCAGTCTTTCCGCGGAGTGGAGTGTCGTTGGAGTGTCATCGGCACTCTCCCCCCATTGTCCAATGAAATGTAAAGGCCAGCTGCGGCCAACAGCATTAGAGTAGTCCGAAAAAAAAAACTATATAATTCTTTAATCCTAATTATAAGCGGACATAGCCGCGGTCTATAACCAGTATACAACAACATTATCTCTTGGACATTCCAATTACATAAATAATCTACCTATTTTGTCGGTCGGTCACGTAACACTTATGTAATAAGTTCGTCATGCTTATACAGATATACAGTACATTCTTATGGTATTTGAGATTGATACAAGTGTATATTATTATTTGAAAGTTCGTCTGTGTTAACACTAGCTGTGCCCGCGGTTTCACTTGCATGTTTATAGCCTATGTGTTATTCTAATGTATAAGATATATTAATGTAAAGTTTCATCAAAATCCATTCAGAAGTTTTTGCATACCGCCGAGTTTAGGGCTGTTAAAAAATAATCCATTATGCAAATTAATGTTAGTGTTACGGAAGGACTGTATTAAACTGGTTTAAAAGGACACGTTCCTAGGTGAGGTGATATATGTATGTATATTCAGTTCGCTAGCAAAAACGAAAAGACCAAGGAATATATCATTGGAAATCAATCGGTATATAAAAACTATCGGAATATAAAAAACTATCAAAAAGGTCGCTTTTGGCAACAGTTATGATTGAATAAAATATTGATATTACTCATCTATTTTATTATCCATCTTCATTCATAGGCCAAGGTACCCAAACTTTTCATATTTTAATAGAAAAAGATTTTTTTTAAATACATTTTTTAATCAATTATTATTATCAAAAAATCTGTACAATTTAGTCTGACTCATCATCCATACCAAACCAGAAATTAATCCAAACGTCGTATCATGTTGGAAAATGCAAATAAATATTTCTATCAGTAGTCTAGTACCCATAACATATGATCTGCTTAACTTGAACTAGATGTGGCTGTGTCAATGTCTTATTATTATTTCTACTCACTACGCTTTAGGAACGAGTCAGGCTAGTCAACCACAAACTCTCAAATCATCATCCATAACACTTAATCCTTACTTCCTTACTAATATTATAAATGCAAAAGTAACCCTGTCTGTCTGTCTGTCTCCCTTTCACGCCGAAACAGACGAAATTTGATACACAGATAGTCTAGACCCTGACAAAGGCTACTTTTTAATGCGAAAAAATGGTGGTAAGGGGTCGAAAGGGGAGATAAAAGGTTATATGAAAGTATATACATATTTATTAACTTAAATATACAAGTTTAGCCGTCGCCACGTTTGTTAATTGACTGATTCTTCTAATTGCATATGCAGCAGAACTGAGTCTACTGGCTAATTTTGAAATGTGGGGCCCCATTGTAATCGTAAATCGAGTCCACTGTTATACCCAAAAAAACTGTATCATTAACAAAATTTAATATTTCATCATTAATCAGTAACTGTGTATTTATTAGTCTTACATTAGGAAGTGTAAATTTTATACACTATGTTTTGCTGGAATTTTATAATAGATTACATGTAAGCCAATTTAATACAGCAGACATAGCACTTTTTACATCGGCTAATTGATTACTTTGGCGTTCAATTTTAAACACTAACGAAGTATCATCCACAAACAGCACTACATCTGCAATTTTCTCTGGAAAGGGAAGGTATAAATATGGTTATTTTACGCAGACACGAGCACAGTCAGCTACAAAATAAACCCTCCACTCCCGATAATTAAGCATATTATTAAATAAACATTCATTCCATAATTTCAGGGGGCAAATCAAAGTGACAACAAAGACTCGAACAAGGCAGAAATGGTGAGGAAGATCAAAGCGAGGGTCGCCGCAGCAGACCCCAATAAGGCGAGAGAACTCGGCGGAGTATTCCTGTTCAACATTATCAGAGGCAACTCCGTTTACAGCTGGAGTAAGTATTCTCCATTTTTTACACCTTTTCTCATTGACGGCCTCGGTGGTCTAGCGGATTTACAAACCGGCTTACATCCGATGGATTCGATTCCTTGCGCGGTACAAACCGTTGGTTTGTTTGTAATACTTTATTGTACAATAAAATCTATACATGTAATAAAACAGTAGAGTTCAAATTTACATAGAAAAAAATACGCCATTAACCCAGTCAGGGGGATGTTTGGAGTGAAATAAAACATATTTCGATTTTTTTTTCCTGTATGTTATGTACGAATTTATTGTTACTCTGTATATTAAGCATATAAATAAAATTAGAGTGTCTGTGTGTTTGTAATATTGCAATAACCGTTTTTTTACATAAAAATGTTATTTATATACATACGCATGAATATGAATATAAATACAATTTTTTACAATTTTTGTCTGTCTCTGTGTCTGTCTGTCTGTTTGTTCCGGCTAATTTCTGAAATGGCTGGACCGATTTTGACGGAACCTTTATTGGCAGGTAAGTAATGTAATAAGGAGTAACTTAGGCTACTTTTATTTTAGAAAATAAAAGTTAAATTTCACATGGACGAAGTCGCGGGAACAGCTAGTTATAAATAAAAGAACATAACTGACTTAAAGACTAAATGCGTACAATAGCGAACTTATGCTTTAAGAGAGATTTGTTTCAGTTTACCCTTGAGTGATAGAGGAATTGTGGAGTGGGGGAAAGTGTACAATAAATGATAGGCGTTGCGTAATTGCTAATCTCTGAAACGGCTAGACTGTTTACTGTCTGTTTGTTCTTGCTAATCTCTGAAACGGCTGGACCGATTTTGACCGGAATTTCATTTGCAAGCACTTCTACCTAATGTTATATGGAGAAAGTTACGCTACTTTTTTTTAGAAGTTTTATTTATTTTAAATCCACGCGGACGAATATGGTGGTAACAACTAGTCATTATTATTAAAAAAATGTTCTATTATTTTTGCAGCAATGGACCTCAACAAGGTGATCGTGTACGAGGGTGAACCTGAAGAGGATGCTGACGTGGTCTTCACACTAAATGAGCATTACTTCAAACAGCTTGTGTACGGCAAAGAGGACCCACGAGTCATAATGCAGGCTGGCCGCTGTTCCGTCACTGGAGACATCATGAGAGCAATGAAACTGGAACCTTATATTAAGATCGAACAGTGATCAAAATCGGAAATCAAAAGAACAAACCATAGATCGGCAGTTTAGTAGCAGTCCGCTGCCAAAACCTTTCATATTTTGTCATATTAACATTAGATATTTTGAACATTTGTAAATAGATATAACCTAAAAGAACTTATGATAAGACAAAAAGTCTTTACATATTGATGTAGACGACTGTACCATTACAAAAAGCAAAATAGTCACAAGCATGTGAACATTGCAGTACTTTGTCACCGTAATATCATTGACTCGTACCTACTTTTTACCAATATTTCATTACTGATACAAGGTACCAGTGTTAGAAACAAACAAGGTGATTCTCACCTAATGTGATACAGTAAGGGATAGCTAAAAATTGAACAGTACTTGCTAATACCATAAATATATTACGATTATAAGACGATTATAGACTTTCAGGGCATTAATAATGACATGATTTTACGAGAGCATTATAGAGTATATTATACATATAAATCAATACAATTTTAAATATATTCACATACTCAACATTGATAAAAGTAATAGTTAGGCAGTATGGGGCAGGCTTTTCGCCTGACCGAATTGAACTATTTTTAAAATAACAACAGCATCAACACAATATATAAAATAATTTACCTGTTCAAAATTCAACCAAGCGATCTCATTTAAACAATATAGCTATTGCTAGTTTAAATAACTCCGTATTTTGGCGCCAATTTTAATGACGTTATATATAAAATCAGTATAATGTAATTTACAAATTCTTTTTTTTTTAATTAAGGGTTATGGAGGCCTAAAAACATTAGCGCTCAGGAATGGCAACGAATTGTATATATAATATCAATGTTATATACATTGATGTATAGAAAATATTAATGTTTAGTGTGAGGCCATTTTGCAATATTCCAGTTATATAAAAAAGAACATTTTCCGTCACATTTCAGTTCTTTAACCGACAATCAGATAACATTAAGTTGATGCGCTTTTAAATACTAATTAATCAATTATGCAAGGCCTTGTTATTTCTTTTTAATTATCATTTTAAAAACTGCTCTTAAAGTTATCTTTGTTTGTGGTATATATAAAAAAATTGAAAGTTGATCATTTATTCAACGACACAAATATTATGCAGACGAGTTTATTCGGCACTAAGTGCCTACGAGTAAATCATATAATAACGTTTAATGAAATCGTAAAGGGCCTAATCTCTATATATAATCTGTTCAAAAAAACAATTGTCCAAAACATTGTTTTTGGAATTTATGGCTGGTTGTCAATTAGTTTGTGCATGCTGAACTCAGAATCGGCTTAAGCGATTTTAATGCAATTTAACTGATATATTGTAGCAAGCCTCCTGTGTCATGGCGTTTAGTTTATAGCATTAGTTCACATACTTACAACCTATTATTACATTCAAAATACTACAAGTATGAAATCATAGACACGCTTAGTATTTAACAAGATTTAAGTTTTCTTTTCATGATTGAGAGATATTCTACTAATATCACAGTAGCCAGACGGTTTGGAATAGTTTTTTAGAGTATTCCTTATTTTACTAATGTATTCCTGCTTTATTTCCTTACTCGCCTTCTACGGTATACTGGAGTTGAATAATGAAATAGAGGTGCTTCATTGTATTCTTATCTTACGGCATTATCAGCAAAGTGAACCAGCATCCATGCATACCTCCGCATTAGTGTTATAATATTTAAAATTAATCTTAAGTTATTAAATTGTTAATTATTTTTATTAAATTACTATTTTTACTATAATTATTATTTTATTTAATTTAAAATTCGGTATATTATAAAATTAGGCACTACGAATATACAAAGACTGCAAAAGAGAGGGGAACCAAAAGGACTGTTGAAATTCAGTAGATACAGTAAAAATGCCTTTAATCCAATCACAATGAAAATTAAAAAAAAATGTACTTTAGTTTTTGAGATAATCCTACCAACTTAATCCTCATACAATGAAAGAAGCTATTATTGGAAATGGAGCAAAGGCTAGTAATGTCAGGTCGTCCTCCACGAGCTGGAAACCATCGTATTACTATTCTACTCTTACTGATGCCCCAATGAATACCTACCGAATGGAACATTTCTTTATGGGGGATAATGAAATTACTCCCTCTACGCTAAAAGTACAAATATATACCTGCATTCAGTGATACGAAGAAACAATATAAGGTCAGGCAGTCCACCGCTGTGAATTATTCACAATGATTTTGAAGTGGACCATGTGGAGGTCGACCTAGCTTGTTTAAGTATTATTTAATAATAATAACCCTGGATAATATATACAGCGCATCTAAACCCAAGCTAAAAAGAAATTGTGTTATAGGTACTAAAAAACAGATTTTTTTTTTCATAAAAACATATATAATATACACTATGTATACTATATTAAACACCTAAACTAATACAACATGATTGTTTGTATTATTATATCTCATGAACATGAATGTTTCCGTCATCGAACGCTGAGGCAGTCAAATAGTATTTTTGAATAAAAATGTTTGCATTATGCAGGAATCGAATCCATCGAATCCATGTTCACCAAAAGTGAGATAGTCATTGTATAAAAATTAAGCAACGTAGTGATTAATAGATTTGTAAATATAATAAAATCTATCTCCAAAGATACATCTACTGCATCAGTAATGGTGGGGAGAGTCGCCCACTCAACTGGTTTCCAATTACGGTAAATGAGTTCATTGGTCTACGGTCAGATACCTCAGACCCTGGCTTTATCTCCTGCTGACCGCGCGACTTCGTCTGCATAAACATTTGATACTCTGAGTAGTAGTTTATATTTATGATTTTCATTATTCTACGGGCCCAACAGATGTTATAATGTGGGTACATATGGTTCCATAGAATCCGCCTTATATGAAGACATGCAAAATTTTATATAAGTTATGCTTCTGTAAATAATTACATAATTTTGTCTTTCAGATAGCATATTACATTATTATATTATAAAAATTAAAAAAATATATTATACTTATATTTAGTCATTATTATATTAATATAATCCAATTCTTAAAACATTTTATCATTAAAATTTAAAAATTATTTTATTGTATAAAAACATCTCTCAATTAACCAGTTGCGTAATCTATTTTGAAATATTTCAATTAGTATCTGTAATAGTTTGAGGTATTCTGTTTTTAATTTTTATACACATTACTCTAAAATTTTTATATACTGATTTGTTTGACCACATTGATTCTGTGTGATTGAGCAGAATGTAAGTGTAATGTACTTGTAAGTTGTATCAGTTGATATTAAATTTAGGGCCATCGTTTAAAAATATAAGTATTCTTGATTACAAAATAAAAAAAAAATTAAAGTACATATCTGTACTAACGTGAGAGAAATGACTGAAGTAAACTCACTTTGTTTAAAAAGTGTCTATAATTTTTAATATAGGTACATCATATAGTTTTTTTAGACTTCAAGGACTTCAGTTTTAACGCACTGTACATATATAGGTTGTATATGTACCGTGCGTTAAAAGAGATGGTATGACGTCAAAATTGATTATATGATATATACTAGCTGTGCTTTTCACACGCGTTAAATGTCAATATATGAATTTAAATCAAAAATAATCCTATAAAATAAGCCTACGTATTATTCTGATGCATAAGCTATATTACTGTAATGTTTCATCAAAATCCGTTCAGTAGTTTTTGCGTGAAAGAGTAACAAACATCCATACTCACAAACTTTCGTGTTTATAATATTATTAAAATTAAGATTTAATCTAAAGGAGGTAAATCCTAATGACATTAATATTTAGCGGCTATTTCTCTATATATGTATATATAGTATAGAAGTATAGATATAAACATGTAAAAAATTACAAGTACATATGTAGATCATTAATTTAATAATTATTTGGAACCCTTAGTATGCTGACTTGTAAATTACTAGTTTTATTATCTGCTGAATAACCAACATGGCCAATAGTGAATGCCATGGAACAATGCACCACACCAGCTTCTTCTTTACTGTACGTTGCAAATAAAATATATTCTATCTATCTATCTATCTACCAGTGTAGGTACCACACAACACAGTGAATAACATAAACTTTCATAAAAGATGGTCCAATCCTCGTAAGACTTACGATAAAGAAAAGAATACAATAAAGAAAAACAATACTTTCATGTAACAAAATTTGTTTTTAAGAACAAAAGAATCTATACATAAAAACTGTTTTATTTTAATTAACGTTTATAATAAAAGGACAATATAATAAATAACTCTGGACAACTAACACAGCACCATCTAATCCCACGGTAATATGCTTGTGTACTACACAACTTTTACAAATATTAATTTTTTTGTAAATACATTTTTAACAAAAATAATAATATATATTTCAAACTCATGAATACAAACGTTTGCACCGTGCGAGGAATTGAGCCCGCGACCATCTGAAATAAAGCGGTCTGTTAAACCGCTAGACCACCGAGGCCGTTATATGATGCACAAAAATATGCCGTGTTAAATAAGAATTAATAAAACAGTTATAGTTAGATTCGTACTAATATATGACTTAAAATAAAGTAATCTTCACATAGTATAAAACAAAGTCGCCGCAACTGTCTGTTCGTTAATATCTTTTAAATTATGCAACGGATTTTAATGCACTTTTCAGCAATAGATAGTGATTCAAGAGGAAGGTTTATATGTATAACTAGCTGTACTCGTGACTCTGTCCGCGTGGAATTTAACTTTATTCTTCTAACAAAATTTTTATTCATCAGCTAAAAAAAAAAGTCCCGTCAAAATCGATCCCATTAGCCGGAACAAACAGACAGATAGATAGACAGACAAAAATTGTAAAAAATGTTATTTTAGTGTATGTACCGTATTTATATTCATATGCATGTAGTAAAAACGGTTATTTCAATATTACAAACAGACATTCCAATTTTATTTATATGTATATATACATGTGTGTTATAGTACAGAACAAGCCGAGAAATTCAAAGATTTGTAATACATCCGTGCAAAGACGGGACAGGTGGCTAGTATAAAATAAAACTACATTTTTCTCCTTCAATATTTGTTTTGTGTACTTTAATACGAAACAACTACATTTCTTTATTAATTTAGGGCATTTTGTCCATTTTTGATGCGTCAGTACCATCGTACGTAAATAAATAAATAAAAAAACATATCTATCGAAGTCAAATTGTTATAAAGTTCAAATTCAAATTCAAGATATCTTTATCACGTAGGTCTATTACAGACTCTTATGATATATCAAATCTACCGTCAGTTCGGAATTACTTGGAGATGAGTAGAACTGACAAGAAACTCAGTTTATTAACTCAGTTCATTTATAATAATAACATTTAGTCGTGCGAATCTCAGTTCATATATATAATAATATAGTGATCTAACATTTGAAATTTGGCATACAGGTAGATGTTATGACGTATCCGATAAGTGATTTTGATTAATTCTACCCCCAAAGGGATAAAATAGGGGATGAAACTTTGTCAATTTTAAACCGATCGGGCTGAGACTTTGCATGCATAAAGCTACTATGACGTAGGCATCTCCTAAGAAAGGATTTTGATAAATTCCACCCCTATGTGAAGTAATTAACGCGAGCAAAGCCGCGGGCAAAAGCTAGTAAAATATAAACAGAGTAATTAATAAGTTCTAGTGTATAGAGCGGGTCCCATAAAGAGTGGCCTAAGGACAACTAGGCGCACTCATAGTGTCATGGACCAGTAATAGTGTGCACTTGAAGTACACTTGCGAAGTGAAGTGTATTAAAGTGTTTTTAAAACTAATGTTCATTTTGTAGGGGATTAATCCGCGGTGTAATTAATAATAGTATTAAAATATGTGTATGTCACGCTCACTAAAATGTCCAGACATATGGCAGCGTGGTGGGCCGGGTTATTAAAATATGGCCGATGGTAGTGATGGTTGGCTTGTGAGTGATACTCGTGAACGAGTGCTGTAGCGCGTCGTGGCAAATTCACCACGAATTTATCACAACGGTTTCCAGGGGGAACTGACATGGTGCGTTGCACAAAACGTGATTATTCACATTATTAACAATCCCCTACCCTACATGTTTGTATCATGCAAGGAATCGAATCCGAATCAAAAGTAAGACGGTGTGACGGCTAAACCACCGAGGTCATCAAATATTATTAGGGATTCAAGATATCAAGTATCTGTATAGAAATCACTTCTGTAACTGACTGTACCGGTATATCCACATATATCTAAGGCTTGCAGATATATTCAACTTAATATTCGATCCTCGATCTTCGCCACCGCGAGACAGTTAACGAGTTGCGTGCAAACATACACACCGACAGTGTAACAAATATTGTGTATACGAAACTTAAGTAATGGATATGAAAATAATATTTGTAATTATCGCTACCTCTGTTGCCGGTGCATACGGTAAGTTACAACTTAGATACTAAGTAGTATATAAAAATATATTAATGATTTTGTTCACAAATATTTTTTATCTATATATATAAGGGTCTTTAAAGTTGAGAGTCTGTTTATAATTTGAAATTATATAGTATATTATATAATATTAACAGTTTTTCACTTTGCATAAAGTTTATAAATTTATATAAAAAAAACATTTAAAAAAAAGTTATTAAAAAACGTTTGTATCTGACACGGTTGGATCGATTTTGACAGGATTTTCACTCGTAGATAGTTAATAACATTTGCTAGTAGTCAAAAAGGTTAATTCAGGCATTTTGGTAATTTAGGCTATTTTTATAAAAAAAATATATATTCCATGTTGAGGATGTCGCGGTTATGGTAAATATATAGTATAAATATAGCATATATTAGCTATGTACTATACTAGCTATATTTATACTATACATTATTATATTATAAAAATCTCGCTTTACAATTATTGTTCAGCATAAACTCCTAAAGCAATTCTTATGAAACTCGGCCAATAGAAATATAATTATGCTGAATACAATTGTTTGTATTTTGAGGGAATCGAATTCATAATCGTCTGAAAATGAGGGAGTAGAACACTCCCTCATTTTCATCACATAAATCTTTAGTAGGATCAGTTTTGTAATAAATATAAGTAATTTATTATTAAAATTAATATGATGTGAGTATGTTCATTAAAAAAATTACTTAAGAGCCATTCAAATGCTTAAATCAGTGTACTATGGCTATTTTATTACGAAATACTTTTAAATTTCTTTTAATTCAATCTTCACTTGTAGACGTCATATTAATTAAAAAAGATAGTCGTTGTTTTCTTTTAAAAAAAATTAAGTAACTGGATAGCAATAGTGATGAATTAATTTAATTCAATTACATTAAAAATATTGAAATGTAATATCGAAACGAAGTAAATGTTTTCGATTATTATAGTTTTGTTTATTTTTCTATTGTATACTAATTGAATTTTGACTCATTATTTATTTGATAGCGGAACGGATTTCACATATCAACTAGTTTATTATATAAATCATTTTTATTTAAGTTAGGACTCGTCTATAAATTTTTGTGTGTGAATCTGTGGGAAAGAATCTCAATTGGCACTATCAATTTGGGTGCGATTTTCACTAATATATTATGACAAGGTTTATTTCAAAGTTTTGTTATTACTTAATGAAAAAAATTACACAAATACAAAGTCACGGGGTCAGCTAGTGTTTAATAAGTGACAAATAATGATATGGCCAGTCTGGTCCATAAAATATGTGGTTAATAATTATGGTATAGGTATAAAAACAAGTAGACTGGCGTAAATAAACTGTGTATCCGTTTACTCCCATAGTTACATGACAAACAAAGTGATTCATATAAATTGTTTTTTTTTTAATTATTCTTTAATTCGCAAAAACAAGATGGACATCGTAAAATAAGATAATGATCTTTGCAGTCACTCAGTATCTAGTCATTCGTTTTGTATTTTCGGTAGATAATATTCATCAAAATTTCATTAGGATCGTCATAATTTTTCGTACTCGTCTTCGTTGAACAATAATATAATAGTAAAAATAACCCTGGAATTTCACATAGCGCCATTTAGTCCCAAGATAAGCAGGGCTTGTGTTATGAGTTTTTTTAATACATACATTAAATAATTTTTTTTAATACATACATTAAATAAAACACGGTTTCTGATTCAACGTTTACTTATGAACAAAATTTAACGAACACGGTGTAATACTATCCTATATATCTAATGACATTTATAAATTTACCCACAATGTAAAAACGTAGAAAATAACAATATACAAACTATTATACTCATGAATACAAATGTTTGCACCGTGCGAAGAAACGAACTTGCGACCATCGAAAATAAGGCAGTGTGCTAAACCGCTAGACCACCAAAGCCGTCAAACAATTTATGAAGAAAAAACACAAACACATACAGCTATGTTTATTACATATTAGTTTTTATATATTGTCTAGATATTAGAGAGTGATGTTCAGTGTTTGTACGGTAGAGAATGCATGACGATATCAATTTCTCTACGATGCTACTAGAACATCTCAAATATTAATCACCTATCGATTAAATTCCATTCGATTATCCAACTGGAACTTCAATCGTTAGTATTGGAATCACTATGTTGCTAAAATAAAATAAAAAACATGAAACACTTTAATTGTGGAATGAAGAAAGTTCCGAGATTTTCTCTATGATTTTTTTCAAGAAGGGTATATAAGGTCGGCAACATGCACGTGACACTCCTAGTGTTTCAGGCGACCATAGGCTACGGTAACCGCTTACAATCAGATTGCCGCTGTAATATTAAAAAAATATATATTGTACAATTATAAAACACTAGAAATTTGAAGTATTTGTTGTATGTTAAATGTTTTCATTATTATTTAATTAAAAAAAAAACGTATATGATGAGTAAAACTTATTAAAAAAAAACAATTGTAGTTAGATCGAGAAACCAATATGTCTATTACCTAGTTGCCGAATAAAATTTAACAGAAGCATTTAAGAAAATGAAAATAATGAAAAAAAAATAGAAACCCATGTGACAATAAACTCTACGCATAAAAATAAACTGATAATTTACAGTTTTAGTGAAAATTTGTTCTAATTTACAGAAATTAGACGCATTACAAATAAAAAACGGAATAAAAATCGAAAATGAACACCTCCTACGATTTAAATTATGTATTCTTAAATTCGGTTGTAAATAAGAACTGCCTGCTTCGTGTAGTTTATTTCCAAATCTGTTACTTTCTGTGTGGGTTGTAAATTTACACAATGCTAACATGTTGTTAATTCTAAAATGGAAACGTAACCCATTCATATGTTTATTAAAAGAGTCCTTAATAAAAACCACAATCCTAATATGAACGTGCAATTTAGAGCTGACTTCGCTTCAAAGTTACCGTTATAACATTAATTATTATAAGGAAAGTGGATCATTTCTGTCTATCATCTACAGTTATTTCACGTCACGGTTTCAAATGCGCACAGAAAAACAATAGGGGAATCAGTTCGCTTGATTGACAGTCAAATTATCTCGTTTATATATAAGTAGTTGAATTATTTTGTTGGCATAACAAAGGTCTCAATGGGCAGCCTGCAATTGAATCGCGTAGAGACAGAGTGATTTCTCTATGGTAAATAATTAATCTATTATTATTTTTAAGGTACCGTATCTAAACTATCTGTTAATGTTATCAGTTTAATATTATTTATTTGTATAGGTAAATACGACTACCTAGGTCGTAGGTACTAATAACTACTAACCTATACAAATCTATAAAAATAAGTAAAATTAAAGTGTCTGTTTGTAATTTCAAATTAACAACTTTTCACAAAATGTATATGATGTATATAAAAAAAAAATATGTATATCAAATGAATGTATAGTCATGTATATCAAAAATACAATTAAATTTCTTATTTATCTATTTATTTATTTATTGGACAAAATTTATTTTTTTTAAATCCTTAAAATTACACTCTTCTACTTAATCGCGAAATTATTATTTTTAATCGCGATAATATCGCGATAGAAAATTATTATAGTGATATTAATTAATAATATCACTATAATAATTTTCTACTGTCAACGGTACTGCATAACTGATTAACTTATGTGGTAAAATAACATTTGCCGGGTCAGCTAGTAATTTATCATAATATAGAAATTATATGACTTTAGTCCGGGGGTGCTACGTTTGTTTTCCTTTTATATTAAGCAGGTAAAGGTAGATAAATACAGTTTTTTTATAGCAAAGGACGGAACGATTATATGTAGTTACGGTTCACCTGATGGTAATTGATTACCGTCGCCCATGAGCACCCGCACATATGGTTAAAATAAGCTAGTTTATATAATTGTCATAAGTAGGCAGTTGTACTAGTATTATACTTTTTGTAAGATGATCAACCATTGTCGGCCAATAAACGTGTTCCGAGCAAGAGGTGTTTCAATTATTACATTGGCGACTTGGATGGTTTTAAAAAATATTAGTACATAGTCAATTAGGTATTACAGTTTCAATATCGCATCGGTTTGGGAATACCATTGATGAAAGGTGATTCGTCAATGTGATTGTGTGTGGAAAAATTTAACAGATATTAATAATTTGTAGCAATAATTACAATATATAATATATATGTAATTTAAATGTATCTCTACTTAAATAGGAGAAGCACCGACAAACTACGATTTGAGCAGAAACAAAGTTGGCGGCAGTGAATTTAATGGTAACACCATATGATCCAATTATCATAACATTCTATATATGGTCTCAGGTCATCATTCAATATCCTAACAAACACATGACATGACATGGGAAGATTATTGTTCAATATCCTATCATACTTAACATCGACAGGTTATCATTAAATATCCTAACAAACACATGACATGACATGGGAAGATTATTGTTCAATATCCTATCATACTTAACATCGACAGGTTATCATTCAATATCCTAACATATTTGTCATAGGCAGGTTATCATTCACTATCCTAGAATAACGATATAGACAGGTTATTATTCAATATCACAGCATACCTGACGTGGGCAGGTTATCATTAAACACCATAACATATGTAGTTTATATTATGAGTTTTAGGTATCATTCAATATCATATCATACTTGACACGATCAGGTTATATAGTTCAATATCATTATTATTATATTAAACGTAAGTTAACACGTATCATTTTATGGCAAATAAAGGTATATACCTCTCTCGATGTTTCAACTATGTTGCAGTAGTCGTGTTTTGTGACCACAGCTAATGTAGACAATGTACAACATAGTACCTAAAAATTTATTATCATAGCACAAATTATTCCTGTTAAGATCCGATTAACTAAATTAATAATGTGTACTTAACGCTAGAGTTCCAGAAATATGTACTATTCAATATCATCCATAAGAAATATTTGCACACCTTTTCTAAGAGGCCAAAATAATGAGCATGTCACTAAAGTTAACAACAGGTCGTCAGCTTGTGTAATTGTAGGTGGTAAGGTATATTAATCTGGCCTCACATAATCAGGTTCAATCCAGACGGCCCATTTCTACGACGCCGTTCGATGGCACTTTTCCAAATTGTTGCAACCAATGTCAAATCGAACGGATTTATCGGTACGAGCCCTGCGTCTGTTAATGGTAATGTACGAGGACCGTTGGTTTAAAAAACTGTAAGAAAAACTAAACAATTGATGATTTTAAGTATAATAATAACGTCATATTTTACTATTATAATGTGTCATTTTTAACTAATTAATGGTGTACTAACCAGGAAAACACATGAGGTCAAGGTGACATGTAACGAAGTCGTTTAATGAAATTAAATAATTCTCAGTAATTACCTAAATCGGTATAATGATGCCTTCACGGGGTCATCTTTGATAGAACTGGACTGAAATAACATAATTAGCTACCTAAACCGGAATGCACAGAACGAAATCAGATTCTCATCTTTTTCTCACTGTTAATAACAATAGATAATTATTTAAATTTGTTTGAGATAAACAAAACATATTGTAATTAATAGTAATAAAGTACGCGGATGTATTACATACAGGTTTTCATGTATTTGTATTTGTTATACAATAAAAATGAAATCGAGATACAGATCTCGTATAAAAATGCAGTGTATACTTACTCAGAATAGCTGTATAGACAAAGAAAATAGGCATATTTTTATATTCTATTACTTTCATTACTGGGCCAACAGTATTTAAAACTTTTTCATATTTCAAAAAAATATTATTATTAGGAATTAGTACTTAGTTTCTGTAATATAAAGTGTCACATGTAAAGACGTACAAAGTTTCCTTTTTAATAGAATTTAATCGATTTTTCATTATTATAATCAACTCGATTGAAACTATTACCCAAACTAGACAAAAAGACAAAGTTAGCTACTTTGTCTTTTTTACCACACATTTCTATAATATTTAGATCTGAATCGACCATATTCAAAATTGTAATGTTTCCATTCAGTTCGCGCCAAAAGTCAGCCATTTTCCTAATTCATTGCCCGACGCAAAACCTACTTATTGTCATTCATGCCTCAATCACATATTAATAATAACCATTTATTTTATTATTTATATTTATTATTTAGCTTTCATATCATAAACATGTGCTATAAGCTGAAATAGCCTCCACTCAGCTCTTGCTGAAGGTGGCATTACAGTGCTAATGTTCAATGGAAATACCACTCGAAAGAGCTAGCATTCATGGCAACTTAAGTTTTTTATAAATAAAATATAGGTATAATGGAACAAATTGGGAAGTATATATATGTTATAAAGTCATCCATCATTGGTGTCATATTCATATAATTCGTGTCATTCATTACTAACCATCATACCATCGCTTAACCTACCGTTCATCAACAGGTTTCGGATTAAGCGATATACTCCACTATTTATTAGGAGGCTACGGTCACTACCAACCTGGACACTATCCGTACCCGAGCGGGCCGGGGTACGGGGGCAATCCAGGGTACTACCCCAACCAAGGGCTGCAAGGACCTCCGGGGGCGCACCCGGGCTGCCCTCTATGCGATTCGTCGGTGTACAGCTATTGTTCGAAGAAGCAGGCCCATGATGCCTGCTGTTGTGGAAATGGATGTAAGTATGTTACTATATACCATCACGAGAGTTATCCTAGATGGGGTAGTCAGAATAATTTTTAAAACTTTTACTTTTATTTATTCTTATAGAATTTCATCATTTTTATATTTTAATTATTTTCAGTTTTCCATGATATCTTCTAGCGTAGGTATAATAATATATATAAATTGAATTCTTGACAGAAACATTATAAATTGTCAACGTCATAGTGACAGCAACACTTGAGGCTATAGGCTTAGACTCTTTGACCTTTCCATTAAGGATAAATAAAACAAAAAAAAAGCAATACTTGACATGAAATGTATATTACTCTGTATATATTTGAATTAATTTTTTTTTCTAATTTCATCTCAAATATAGCATTAGAGAACCGCTTCCAGAATTTACCAACGATTAGTTTTATTTCCCTTGTTTTATTGATAAATTTTGAGTGACAATCTTTCTCTTCACAGTTAACTCACCTTATTGCTACAAAACGAACTGCAAATTCCTGTACGCGAACACGTGTGACGAACACTACCTCATCTCAAACTGCTGCTGCGTGGACCTGTACAAAGATGGCGGCCAAATTCAACCTGTCGCGATCGCCGCATAATAACTAAATTTCTAATTTTATCTGAGGTTTCATTAGTGATGTATCGAATAGTATTTAAATTTAAAGTCTGACCAAAAGTATATGAGATTTAACTAGGGGACGCCACTTTCGTTCATGTAAGAAAAAGGTAGTTAAAGTTAGAGAAAATAATAAAATCATTAAGTATAATAAATAATTGAGATACATTTGCTATTATTTCTATGCTAATTATCTTCTTAAAATCTATCCTTTTTTTTACTGTACAATAAAGTTTTTTTATGAATTTTAATGGTATGGTGCACTTATCTGCGCTAAACGCTTACGCTGGTAAGGCACGATGGAGGCTAGCCCATCGTGACAAATTTACCAGGAATTTATGGCAATGGTTTCCAGGGAGAACCACGTGGAGGTCAAACTGACAGTACATAGCTAACAAAGGTGTCATTAGCACACATTGCTATCATCTTCTCCTCACAATAAAGTGTTATACGCAAACATCTTTGGGGAAGAAACATTATGTTATAGAATTTAAAATATACGGTGAGAATGAAGTCAGATCAATTTATCACCATCACTAGAATCAAATCTACACATATAAATAAAATTGGAGTGTCTGTTTGTAATATTGAAATAATTACAAACAGACACTCCAATTTTATTTATATGTGTAGATTTGATTCTAGTGATGGTGATAAATCGATTTTTACTACATGCTTATGAATATAATAAAATATACGGCACATTCACGAAAATAACATTTTTTTTATAATTTTTGTGTCTGTCTGTCTGTCTGTTTGTTCCGGCTAATCTCTGAAATGACAGGACTGATTTTGACGGGACTTTTTTTACCAGGTAGCTAATGTAATTAGGAGTAACATAGGCTATTTTTATTTTAGAAAAATAAAGTTAAATTCCTCGCGAACGAAGTCGCGAAAACAGCCAGCAAAATAATTAAACATAAACAAACGAATCAACGATAAGTACTTAATCAGAATTGTTGGATGCTTCTAACAAGCATATGTTTTGGTCAGACTGTAACTACTATTTAAGTACAGAGAGGAATGCCTTACTAGTTTTTAGAATTATTAAATACGACCAAACATAATAATAATATTAGTAAAATATAACGTAACGTTATTTGGGCGTTTCATTATAATCTTCTCTTTATAATAGATCCTTTTATGCAACTGGAATGACAAACTGGCGGGTCACCTTATGGTAAGTGGCAACAGTCGTCTATACGTACATGAGCAGTTTTACATCATCATGCGACGCCCGTGATTTCTTTGTGCGTTATAATTCTGTAGACTAAGGGTAATTTATTTGGCATTGGAATTATAGATATATTTTATTTATATTTATATATATATATATATATATATTAAGCAATTATATGTATTATGTGTTCCCATGTAGTAGGTATATACTTTTTATGAGATTGTTTTTCTTATTGATTATATTTGCACCGCCTACAATTTTTCTCTACATAACCTGTGGTTGACTGGTAGAAAATGCCGTGAGGCGGTTACTTTGTACTATTTCTATTATATTACTTTTTATTTTGATATTGAAGTTATATGCATTGAAGTTATATAAATAAATAAATAAAAATAGAGGATGGAGCTATCTTATAATTCCAATTGAATCAAGCAACCTGCTCGGCCGCTGTAACAGATAAGAGAAATAAACAGAACTAGATAATAATAATCTCAGGACAATTCACTCATCGCCATCTGGACCCAAGTTAAGCTAGCTGGAGCCTCGCGTTATGGGTGCTATAAGTTAACTAATATAAATAAATAGTTACATTTTTCCGTAAATACATACATATTATACATAGAAAACACCCAGATCGATACAATCATACTCATGAATATAAATGTTTGTGCTGTGCGAGGAATCGAACCCGCGACCATCGGAAATTAGACAGTGTGCTAAACTGCTAGACCACCGAGACCGTCATATGAAACTCTGTAGGCTAGTTTGGAGTATGAGCAAAATTTCCACGCTAACAAACGACTTAATATATATTGTATTATTAAACGACATTATAAAAATAGGCATTTGAAGTACATCAATATAGACGCGGACAAGCGACCATGTACACGTCCAACGTCAAGGCCTGACACAATGACAGAAGAACAAGTGGACAAAAATCTAATTTCAATAACAAACATGTTCACTGACAATTCGTACACTTGTCCTTTACTTTGTTATTTTTACCGATACTGCCTAGTGGTTTACTACCCTGATTTACACCCATAACGTGAATTCGACGCTTGACAACACCATAAACTTTGTCATTTATATTTTTAGCTCTATGGTGATAGATAAGTATAAATAACAATGCCTTTATCACCCTTCACCGGAAAAAGATTTCCCGAAGCAAGCTGATTGGCGGCTAAAATAGTTGAGGCTGAGGTACACGATCTGCTGTAATCACTACGATTGATTAACTCTTATTTAGTTACTCAACCATTTGGTTGTATATTTAATATTTTCTCTATTAGAATATTTCATTGAATTAGGTTAGTTGGTGTTTGTATTCACACCCTTCAACTTAAAAATGTAAAAAGCGCAACACACAAGTTTCTTGCTTTTCTTGTAATGAGATAGCTTTCCGTATGATAAACGGAACGGTAATTAAAAAAATGTAATGACTATTCAAAAGTGCTTCAGTGTAAATTCATATGAATAAATGATTTTCTATTCTATTCTATTTACGCAGACAACTTCATAAAAGTCTACTTAAGTAAGTACGTAGGGAAAAATACACATTGTAAAAAAAAACAACGAGCTTTTCTTAAGTCATTTATGCACCACGAATTATTCGTAATTACACATTTACACACATCTCTCACTACATTGTAGAAAACAGTGAATCTATTAAGATTCTAGGCTTTGGATACAAATACAGAATCACAATTTTACACATTTGTTTTTTGCTAAACAAACAATTATATAGAACATTCTAGAACAATGTATAATGCTTAAATTAGGGAGTCTATTTGTAAGAGAAAATACTGCAGTCTATTTCTATTTTAATACGAAATTTTATTAATGTTTAATAAGGTATTGTAAAATTTTATTCTCAAAGTTTTATAATAATGTATAGTCTGAGCTCAACAACGGGTGCTGCTTGTAGGGACTGGTCTGCTCTGATCATTATAATGATTTATTTTGTTACTCAAATAACTATTTATTTACTATTGTGAATTCAGCTATTTAGCAGTTTACATCCGAACAAAAGCTTAAACATGTAATGCTGAAAAACATTTCTTTAAAAGGGAAACACGCAAGTTTCTCTCGCCTTTTTGTAATGAGCCTGCTTACCGATTGAGTGGTAGAATAAAAATTATATGACAATTCAGAACTGCTTATTTCAACTTTATTAGAATAAACGCTATTTCTATTTCCAATAATATTAATCTATGTTACTTTTACAAAAAATCTCAAATTGGGAATATTTTGTAATTTTAAGTACATTGTATACTGACTAATATCATAAATGAATTCTTCGCCAGTGCTTTGCAACGATTAAATTCACAAAAAACAAAGACCAATCCAAATATCTTAACAATTTATCTTTTCGTAGCCTACAATGACGTAAAATAAATAATACAGAGTAACCTTGTACTGACGTAAACGCAACCAGAGCTCAGACTATTGAATCCAAATCAGTTACATATAATAAATAATTCCATTTCAAATGTATGACAAAATTGTGTTATCAGCACATATATAATTCACAGTATATCAATCAACGCCACAAACAAGCGATTCTAAAATATCTCTAAACCTATCTCTAAAATTTTCATATTTTGGAGATAAAACCCATTGACATTATCATGATGGGATCGTTTCGAAATTAACCTTCTCTAAAATTAATTCTCTCTAAAACGTTTTTTTTATTGCTGATTTTGGGCTATTGTCAGGTGTTAAGACCTGTAACACTGCGACCTACATAGATCTATTGTGCTCGCCCTTAATAACTTTACTCGAGTATCTAAAATATCTATAATTTTAGAAATAGGTTAGCCAATTTTTCTTTGAAACTTATGTCTAGAATTTTAGAGGTAGATTCAGAATATTTTTGAGTGGGTTCCATTATTAACATATGTACATATTTCAAGCATTATATATGTTAGATAACAAATTGATCATAATTTCAACCTTGAAGTTAATACTAAATGATATTCATTCATAATATCTGGCATATGATGTTTGCGGATCAAATGTCAAATCAGCAAATTAGGTAAATTACTAGAAGATAAAGTCTGCACAAACTTTCATAGTAAGAACTGAGTTACACGCTTCCCAGTGCAAGTGATTACATAAACAATAGCGTTACGACGACACAGTACACACTGTGCCGTCCATACAGACGTGTCACTTATGAACTCTGTATAATTCTGACTCCTAGTCAATTCATAATTTGAAAATTAATCGATTCTAACCCTTATCACGTTAGCAGAAGATACACATTCATAACACAATGAACTGGCGATATACACATACCGCACACAATCCAGATCGCGATACTCAAAGGCGGTTTAATACAAATTTGAGAATTCCATCTTAGTCATGCAATGCGTCACATATTTAACTTATATTTGAATTTAATAAAAAAATTAGGCAATACGGGCGTCAGTATTATATTATCGTTACTTGGAACAAATGCGACCTTATTTGGTCCAAGTAATTTTTTTAAATAAAGCGGTCCACACATGCGACGATTAATTATTTATAAACAATCCGTATAATGCGGTTATTGAACATTACCATACACGCCATGTTAATCGCCCCGTGTATGGCGCCATTACCGTTATTACAGTGGTAAGATACAATGAATAAAATCAAATGAAAATTGCGACGTGAACAATATAAGTTGAAAACAAAATGTAAGCGACACAGAAGATAATATTAATGTGACACGAATTCATTAATATTGTCTTCAATAAATACATGCGTTGCATTTTTCTACTTGACAATTATGCGTCTTTTTTGAAAACATTTGGTGACTTAATACACGTAGAATTGCTATTAATTTCAAGTAAAAACACTAGGAACACATTTAATTATATTTATTAAAAAAAATCGAACTTTCGAGTTAATTCTTGGACAGGCAGTTTCGAAAATATACAACTCACTTCGAATTCAAAAATTGAAGAAAAGTATACTTTCTGATGTTTATGATCTATGGTTTCAGCTATTAGTTTTCGAATCGAACCTTTTAACTGATTACTTTTGCCCTTATAAAGTACGTACGGTCGGCAAAAAAGTTATATATCTCGAAAAAAACGAGTATAAATGAATCAGCATCAACATACATGACGACCATGCATGACTAATCCTAAATAGTACTTAAATTAATGCATTTATAATGCTAAAACACGCTATCATGAGCTTTATCACATTACAGTGTATATGTATAAAAACAAAACCTAATAATATTAGTAGTTAGAGAAATAAATTAACCAATAATTTGGTTATTGTTGATATATAAAAAAACAGCTCTGGGGGTTCAGATGCAGGCTACGGTACAGTTGGCAATAGTTGTTCATGCACAAGAGATTTCGTTTAATGTTAGACATAAACACCTATATAAGTATACAATGGAAATAAACTGGCTTTTAAAAAGAAGAAATAAAGTTGAGTTTCTTGCCAGTGATTTTCAATTGAAACTGCATATACCTAGACTGTAAGGAAAAAAATATATTTTTAATTTGCTTTGATTGTTTGTCTTCCACGATTCGGATATTTTCCATGATTGTTGGTAAAAAATTAAGGTCATATACAAGCTAGAGAATAATCACTATTCACACACTTGTATAATGAGTAAATGTAATGTAAATGTAATATGCTCAATTGTCATATTTTTGCGGTGTATCTACGCTTGCAATGTATCTGACATATATTTAATTATAATAACTAAATTAATTTATTTGGTCGCTAAACATAAAACAATTTTGTACTAATATGACATTAAATAGCAACAACATATTTATTAATCATCACTTTTTTGCCGACCGTACCTAAAATCACGTTGTGTACAGGAATACGAGAAATTTGTTATAATACTTTAATTTTAGTTTATGGTACAACATTCCATTTTAATATAGAAATGGATATTCAAATATCGACATTATAATTCAATAAGTCGAAAATGTGACTAAGAGCTCACCAACTAGTAAAACAAGAAGCTAGCAATCATTGTTTTCAGATATAGCATATTTTGTATACAATTTAGGCCTGTCCTTTTCACAGAATTATTCCAAAACATATCCGATATTCAAACGATTACAAAAAAAAAAGAAAAGCATGCCATAATTGTTTACAAAACTTGCCATATACAAAAAAAAACAAATAGCTATATTGTAATAATAGCTTCTACTCTTATTACAGCCAATTCCGATTATACCGTTTCGGATACTGTGATCACAAGAGATATTAGATAAGAGAGATGCTGTTGCCATAATCCAATACCATCTTCAAAAAAAAGATCTAAAAATTCAAAAACATAAACCAGCGTAAATTACTAATAAGTAATTTATAAAATACATAATAGAAATCTATTATAATGAGCCCACTGCCCAAAACAAGACTCCAAATTCGAGTTAGTACATATAAGTCTGATATATCTATTGCAAGTGAATAAATACCTAATCTCCTTAGTTATAAAAACTAAAATAGAACGTACAAATCTATTAGATATTATGTTTTGCCACTTTCAAATGAAAACTATAAAGTGTAAACAACCAAATATTTCCATAGCTAATACATATTTATTAGATGATTGACATATTTAGAAGAGTTAGTGTATTATATTTAAAGAAAGTAATTACTTTCTTGTATACTAAAACAGTTTACAACTTCATACATACATCCATCTCATTGCCAATGAATAAAAGGTTTCACGATTTATATTTAGGCAATTAAGTTCGTTGCAGTTTCAAGAACACCACTGGGTACTATCTTTTTAATGTTTTATAACTAATTGGATGCAATAAAAATATTATTATATTATTGTTGCAACTTTGCATGCTGTTATTATGTAGATATTTCCAAAAATCCTTACTTTATAAAATAATCTTATATTCAAAAATTTCACTAGTAGTACCTACTGCTTGGTAATAGTCAGACAAACGATTTTACAAGTATATTAGCTGACTATAAATTAAAGTACTAATATTGATTTTTGGTACTAGAAGGATGAACATTTGGGGTTATATGTATTTTTAATGTCACTTTATTACATAAAAAATTGACCAAAAAAATAAATGTTAGGGGTGGATATCATATAGGGGTCATATCACTTAGGGGTATGAAAAATAGATAGCCGATTCTCAGATCTACTGAATATATAATCTCATAAAAATCGGTCAAACCATTTCAGAAGAGTATGGCAACTAATATTGTGATACGAGAATTTCATATATAAGATGTGGATTGGATAACATATCCTCAATCTATTTAATGTACGGATTTGGCAACAGACATCTCGAATTTGCAATAGCATAAAACTTAAATCTACCTTCGTTCACATTTGTAGGACAAACTGGCATAACACTACTAACGTTTCAACGCATCCGATAGTGATTCTTCTCCAGAACTTGGCATAACTCGCCCTTGAAGTCGATTTCGATTTCGAAATCGAGATCGCGGTTGTTGCGCGCGTTCTGACGCATTGAGAACGTACCGGTGATCTCCTCTCCCTTTTTAACCTGTGGATTTTATCGTAAACATTAAAATCAATACACTTTTTATATTTCGAACCCACTTCTCATAGGTTTTCTCATTCATTCATAATTTGAAAGCCACGCTTGTCGGTGGAGTTCTTGCCACTTTCCACGATCTTCCATCATCATCATGCTCTTTAAAAGTTGACACCAATATCAATATATTTTTTTTGTCTTTTTTACTATTGAACCATAGTTGGTTATATATCTAAAACTACAGTTACAAATATGAAATAGATAACATCAGATGACAGACGGATGTACATAATCGCATACAAGGGCTCTTTTTGCTCCTTGGCTTCTAAATTAAAATTAAGTTGACAATGGGTGATATGATAAAAAATAACAAATTTCGAGCCACTATATTTTGCAGCAGCTAATTGAAAACAAGCTAATAAAAAAAGTATGACAGTAAAAGAGTTCATAGTAAGACATAAATTTCGTATAGTTCTATTCAATTCACAACTTAGTAATATGCTGCTGTAGAGATCGAAATCAGACGAGATGCTTGTGTAACTGTTAACTAATGCATAGTATAATGATTATTTGTTTTATTTTAAATTTTCATTATTTTATTCAATACTAGCTAACCTGCGTAATTTCGTCTGCATCACACTTGACATTTATCATTATATTTCGCCCAATTTAGATAATATCTTTATAAATTATAGCCTACGTATTATTATTTTGTATAAGCTATATTACTGTCGAAGTCATAGTAGAATCCGTTTTTGCGTGAAAGAGTAACAAACATCCATCCATCCATACTCACAAACTTTTACGTTTATAATATTATTAAGATTATTTATACTAATAATACTTACGGTCATGTATTCGTCAAAATAGAAGACTGTCTGTTTCCAATGAGTATAAGGCGCCTCGGGTGCCGTACTGAATCCGAGTCGCTTGTGGGACTTAGTGAACTCAACATTGAAAAATGTCACTAGAGCCTGAATGAAGTCGTTACGACGTACCTGCCACAATACATATTACAATTATACATGCATCTAGACACGCGGAAGCGTGTCAAATCCGAGTTCATATATTAATACGTCAAGCAAAAACTGTATGCCATTTTACGAAAATTACGCGGATGGAGCAGTATCAAATTTCGCACATTTATGATAGAAGAAGATGGAGGGATGTAGATCCAATTACGGTCGAAATTAGTTCACTAATGGAGAAGGTCATAACACTTCCGGTAGCGGTGGTAAGGTTTCAGCACTAAATAATTGTGGTCTCGCACATGCTAATGGCAGCAGAATAACTTAACTAAAAAATAAGAAAATAAATTAACTAAAAATAATATAATAATCTATTGAATAATTACCCAAGTCTACCGAATATATCTCCTAATTTTAAGTTACATTAATAAATATAATATGAATGAATGTAAAAAGTATAAACAAAGCTAAAAAATAATTTTTAAAGCAACAAAATACCTGTAAATGGAACTTGGATTCAAAGTTGAGATCTTCTTTCTTAACAGTATACAGATCTATTTCCTTCAATAAACAAGAATTCGTCACCACCTGAAACAGTGTTTAAAAACATTAATTACCCTCTTTGTGTAGCTATAATAATAAATTAGATAAATGAAATATAAAATTTATTATTTGATTGTTTTAGCAAAGCAGTGATCTATGATCGATAATATTAACAAATACCATATCCCGGATTTGTATTGTATATAAACAAATTAGAAATATATACAAACCTGTTTAGCATCAACAACATCTACGAGAGGCTCCGAGATGGCCACTTTCCTGATGGAGGACATATCAAAACCATACACATCATCCCACCAGTTGATTTTCTCATCCTTGTACTGGCGATCTTCGATGCCACAGATAAACAAGGTGCATCTAAAAAATTATATTAAATGTTTGGTACTTCATTAATTAAAAAAAATACTATACACAGATACAATTCACTACAAATTTTTGATATATATAAAAAATTAGTAGATCTAAATTACAATTTTTATAATCTGTAATTCAATTGTTAAACAATATCTAAAAACAATGGACAAGTCTTACAAGGTTTAGATAGATAGAATATACTTTATTTGTAACATACAGTAAAATATTCCAAATTTTATAAATTAATATTAAAAAACACAGGTATAATTGTAATATGGCGGCCTTATTGCTGAAAGCAATGTTTTCAAGGCAGCCTTAAGCAAACTGAGTTAAATTATAATAATTTAAATTTTCTTTGAAACCAAATGTTACATTTTTTAATCTACAACTATTTGAAGAGTAATTGTGGTGTTTTACCTGTCAGGGAACAGCATGCCATCAGGTTTGAGCCACTTATCTCTGGCGTACAGGACAGTATCCAGCATGCTCTCATAGAAGAGGCAGTAGCCCATCCACTCCGAAATTATAATATCCACTTTTTCTACTGGTAATTCTACTTCCTCCACCTAATACAGAAGATTTAATAGAGTTTTGAATAGTTCCTTAATTTCTTAAAACAGAATGGTAAACAACCATCAACAGTTAATATTGCCTGTACCAACTTCATGTAGGATGTTTTTTATGCAATTTCAAAGGTTTACTACCATAGGTCATGAACTACAGACATGACATCTTGTGACGCCCCTGGTATTCAGAGTAGCTATATTCCAGAGGAATGAGGTGCCATACCCTGTAATTTCACTGTCATACCTCAACATTCTACTGAAACAGATTATGAAGCAACTTGGTGGCTGAAATAAGTAAGCTGCTCATGTATTGCCTATACAGGAGACTAAGGTATCATGCCCTATAATTTCACTATTCACAGGTTCAATTCCTTGCATGGTACAATCATTTGAATTCATCAGTATGGCTGTTTGTATTAGTCTGGGTGTTTTCTATGTATAAAAATTAATCTAAGTATTTATATCAGTCTTCTAGCACCCATTACACAAGCTCTGCTTAGCTTGGTGTCTACAAGGTGTTGTGTGAATTGTCCTGGGTTATTATTATTATAATTTCACTATCCTATCTCACACTTCTACAGAAACAGCTTACAAAATAGCAGCTGAAGTAGTAGAGACAGAGGTATGCATGGTGACGACTTTAGACAAGTCTAAATTTGTATGAATGATTTTTTTTAATTATTTCAAATTCAAAATGTCTTTATTCATGTAGGTCTACTACAAACACTTATGATATATCAAATCTACCACCAGTTCGGAATTATTTTGAGACAAGAAGAACTAACAAGAAACTCGGCTCATATTCTTTTCAAATAAATGTTGAACATGTTTACAGTAAAACAACAAACAAATTCAAATTTGGGAGAATAGAGTGACTGCCAGCATATGCTATTGTAAAAAACAAAAAATCTAATTAGTGTTCGCAACCCGAACAGACTAGTCCCAAACAAACAGCACCCATTCACAAGTATGAAGGATTTCTTTTTTAAATATATTACTCACTTTGCCTTTAACAATTTCAATGATTTCGTCAAGTCTATTAGCTTCTATGATCTTGCGTGCATAGTCTACAATGTTAGAACACTCAATAGCAATAACTTTAGCTGCCCCAGCCTTAGCTGCAAACATTGACAGGATGCCCGTTCCACAGCCAATGTCCAGAACTGTCTGTTGGAAATAAACAGCAATATTAGAGGAGAAAAGGACTTTTAATAATAAGAGAACTAGCGGAAGGATTTCAATATCATCTCTGAGAGCTGATTTCACAGATTTGCCTCATCACTAGAAAAAGGACATGACCAAATATTGGATTGTTACAGTGCATTAGCACTCAAGCCCATTCTGACTAAAATTGCCAGGATTAATAATGGTTTAGTTCACTGTAGGGGAAGTCGCTCACATGCATATTTTTTTTTTATTTTTCTATATGTTACATAAAGTTCAAATTACACCAAAATTATTATTGAATTCGGATAAATTTTGAAAGAAATACATTTTTCTTTTGAAGATCATGAGTAAATAACATGAAAAACATTTCTTTCTAGATAAACAGATTGCTAATAAGCTGAATAAAAAAACATATATCAGTTGTGTAACTTTTTAAAACATATTTTTAATGCTTTCTGATGATAACTATGCAGTAGAATTAGAGTACTTAATAATTAAATCAATGTAATTAAATCAATTTCTCATTTTGGGCAGATTTATGAAAATTGCTGTGGCAGTCCACATACCAAATTAATTTATACTATAATTAGCTGTGGATGAAACCAGGGTTACCAAGTACAGAATAAAATTAAAACAAACTTACCTTGCCCTTGAACAAATGCTTATTGTGGTACATAGCATTTCTATACGTGAGTGTTCGAACCTCATCTTTCAACATTTCCTCGTGGATACCAAAATGCGCGTAGGAGTCAAAATAGTAATCCCGGGATGTCATATCCTCGGCCGTAACATTTTTGTCCGGACCTAAGACATGTTTAAAAGAAAATTAGAAAAAAATCGAAGAACAATGGAGCACGTTTTTAACACCCCAAGCGCCGGGATCTATCAGTAGTTCAATGTCACATTGTCAATAAACTTACCATTCTCACCAACAGGCGTGGTCGTAATGGAGGAGCTTTCTTGTGCGACGTCCATGTTTTCCATTTTTAAATTACAGGAGTTAAAACTAAAGCAGATATCTATTTCTATAACCTGTAACTTCGTTAAGCCGAATCGATCTGTCACGAAAAGCAAAGAACAGTTCAGGTATTCGAAATAGCGTTTGAATTTGTTTCTAAGGTAATATATCTTACACTATAAGAGATTATAACAATAAAATATCACAATTTTCAGCGGTTTTACCACCTAAAAGTAATAAAAACGCACAAGACGAAATTTTGCTTTTCCGCAAAAAAATTTAAAGACCTTTTATTGGTCTTGACAGTTGCCACAACAAAAAATACCTAATCGACTGAGCAAGTCCACCGCTGAAAAGTACCAACGGCCAAATCAGTTATACGGTAAATAATTAAGAATTCTATTAAAGCTCATACTTATATATATATTTTATGATTTCTGACAAAATAAGATACATATCTTCAATTTATTTAAATGAAATAGATAATTAAGTAGTAACATGTGGTTTTAAGTATTTATAATTACGGCAACACTGTGTATAGTGATTGCAACACGATATAGTAGCTGATTATAATAGTCGATGAATGTACTAATCGATGATCCGAAATCGATTTTGTAAACTAGCCAATAAATATAAACACAATTTAAAAAAATCAATGTTTATATTAAAGCAACGCAGAAATTTGAAATTTTGCAAGGTCGTTGGCCGCTTTGTTAATATCGGGCATGTTAATGAGCAGTGCAATGAATATAGTTTGGAACGTTATACTATACAATCATCATTTATAACGTTATACATTATACATCTATTATACATATATTATAACTTTCGTACAAGTTTATAACATTCCAAACTATATTCGCTTCACTCCAAGACGCAAATGTCAGAATAGATTATTTCATATATAATAGTTGTATTTTATAAGGTTCGGCTTCATAGCTGAACAAACTCGGATCGATAGTAATGAGATGTATGTAGAGTGCTACTGCTAGCAATATGAATTTGAGTTATGGTTGACTTTGTATAACTACATCGTCTGCGTCCTTTTCTAATTTTTACTTTTTCTCACCTAAATCAACCTCCAAGCAGCTAGATTTATAAGTTATATTTTGATTGGAGGGTGAGATAGCGTAATAAAATTTTCTGCAACTTCAGAATACCTCTCATCTAGGCGCCCTCTATACCGTGATCCATATCATGGCATCTTTGTCCTCAAGAATAAAAACATATGACCGAGGTGCTGTTATATACAGTTGACGGGTGTTCAGGTGGTGTCGGCGGCTTGTTTGTCACACTAGCTTAAAAAAAATGTACCATTTCAGGTACACCCTCACGGAGACCTGGAAATTATCTTGCTTAATTCCTGTAAAATTCGTCACGATAGGCTAACTGTAAATGGGTCAACTTAGTTGTAAATGGACTGAAGCCCGAAGGCAGTATCATAGAATTTGTCTAGTATTAGATGAACAGGTTTTTCCGCTCCTTTTAAAGTCTGAAATTTAAATAAATTATGACTAAGTATAGCGTTGTGATAGATTGACAGATGTCCTTCTCTTTCTCTGTTTAATTCTCTGATTATTTATCTTCTTAAATCAGAAATCGCTTTAGTGAACTGCTAGATGGCAGAACTAGTTGAGACTGAAAAGACTTTAGTTAATCCTTCTAGTAATTATGATCGGAGTTCTGTCACATCATTCTACACAATAAAATTCAAATATACTTACGGAACCCACTAAGTCATGGGTCAATAATTTTTACTGTATTCTTATCGTGCAACCCTTGTTATCTACAATTACAATTGTGTTACTCATGAATACTGTTCAGTCGGCAGTCGCTTATGTTCATATCAACTATCACACGTTGCGGAACGCTGTCCGCCATCAGACGCAAACTGACTGGCCGGCCGGCACGCAGAAAACGCGCGAATTGTGTTAACATAATAAAAATATAAACAAAAGTGCATTGTGCCAAGTGCAGTGACTCTGCGTTACAAAGGAATTTCATTCCTGATTACATATTTTTTCCTGACAACTATTTGCATGTGAGTTTATTATGTGTTGTAATCATATAATGGTAGATATATATATACATAATGATCATTTATTTTTTAAAATTCCTGAGCGAATGTAGTAGTGTAAAAATGGAATGCTATATTTACTTTTAAATTGTCTTTCTTTTTTTAATTCTTGATCGTGTTACTACTCGAGTAAGAATTAAAAAATGAGTAACAATTTAAACTATCTTTTTTTTTAATTGTTAGTCGGATCTAAACACGATTAAATTTAAGAATTCTCGACTTTTTCAGCGTTGTAAATATCTTATCTTCTATCTATTAATATTATTATAAATACCAAAGTAACTGTCTGTCACGCTTTCACGACAAAACTATAGAACCGATTTAAATGAAATTTGGTACACAAATAGTCTAAACCCCAAGTAAGGACATATACTTTATAATTCCAAAAAAATGTTGAAAGGGGGAGATAGAAATATCGTCATTTTTATAGCTAGTAGCTAAAAATTATTTTGTAGGGTATGTAAATAAATATGTCATTCAAAAATAATTAAAAATGCTATCCACGCATCAGCTAGTTTACCATAAATTTATTAGTTTTAAGGCCCATTTCACTACTTAGGAATGGACAATTAAGTAAACTAATTTATTTTTTTATACAGAAACTTGTGTTTCTCTATAAAAAAATCGTAAAATGATTTAAGATAATAGTGAATAGGTATTTTCAAGTAAGTTCAGCCCGCTCTTACGCCATTGATAAGTTCATTGGGTAAATTAGGGCCAAGCCCAACAAACCCATTATGAAATTAAAAAAGTAACTATAGTTGTGTGATGAGTTGATGACGGAGTGAGAATGAAATGTGCCACCATTTTCATCCCCAAAATGTCATAAGAAAAAGTAAGGTAAGGTCATCAGATATTGAACCTTACCACTACATAATACAGTGCTAACCAGTGTTTTATTAATAATAATTACTACGCTTTTAAGGCGCATATAGGTATTTTAGGGAGTGTTCAATAAATACGAAACATACTACAGATTCCAAGGTGATGTGACACGTCGTTTACTACCCCATTGTACATTACTATACACTAGTATAGGTTCGAATCTGGCTGGAATTTGTTCATTTATATTTCTGACTAACATTCCGGTGATGGGAGCATCGATAACAAACCGTTAGAAGACGATAGATCACGTCGGGGTCGGGGTATACATATACGACGAAATGTGAGCGTGTCAAAAGTTTGAAAAAACAATCATATTATTTTGGAATAATTAAAAAAAACTTTCTAAACAATTTATAACAGAGTAACATAAGCTATCCATTATATTATTTGTGCTAACATATATACAAAATTAAGTTGTAAGAACCCGGGTGAATCCGGGGCGAGCAATCAGTATATAGATACACTTTAATTAAATTGAATGAAATATTTTGCATGGCGGTCGTGTTCTCTACTGCTCAACCCAACGGACAGACTACAATTTCATTAATATCCTTGGTCGACATAAATCTCATTGGGAAAGTGTGTCTATATTATTCCTGATTAAACAAGGCATGGCGCCATTAATTTTTGTTGCTTAGTTACCGTTGCTAGGCAACCGTTGTTGATTACATAAATTATGAGTTTTGAAAGTTATTAATAATATATTTGGGAATAATTTCCACAGTTAAAGAAACTTTTATTTTAGACAACGCTTTTAAGATCTTGTATAGCTCCAAAGTTAAATTATATTATTCATATAAGATATATACAAAATTTCATGTTAATAATTTACAATAGATTTCTTTGCTTTCTTTCTTTCTTTCTCTTAATTATTATTCTGAGAACCCTGAGACTTCTATATTGTTATTATACATGGGTAATCAATCATCCATAGTACTATGTAACATTATGTTATCTGTGATTGTACTAACTATAGTGGCACAACTAAGTGATAGTAGTTACACTTGAAACTGAATTTATTTCTCAAAGACACAAAGTGGAAAATAAAATATTATTTTTGAAACTTTATTACAAACATTTATTGTCATGTATGCAAAGTTCGATCCTTTTGTTTTATGAGAATTCTACCTGGCATTCGACTTAGTATGTTAGCAGATAACATTGAAGTCCTTAGCCATTCCAAATGCCATAAAAATAAAAAAGTTTAAAAGAGTTATTTGTCGAGTTACAATTTACGATTATCATTGCTCATTCTCAGAATTACACACGATTTATTAATGTCCCACGATGATAATACAATTATTTATTTCCCAACGCGTAACATTCGCAATAAATCGAACGGCGAACAAAAAGAAATGGCGAAACATGCGAGTTTGTAGAAAAACACATGCTGTGCTTATGACAGAGGGTTTCTTGTTAGCCGCATATGCAATTTATATTCAAACGAAGTATTGCATTTGTTTAGGTTTTTTAATGTACCCGTACTCGCGGACGGACGGCCAACCAGTTTATTTTATATGTACGTGTATTCTATTTATAAATTTTAAAACGCAATATGTAAAAAGATGCTAAACATAAGCACACGAGTCTTAAGCATCTGATTGTGAATACATTGTACTATATACTAAATAATAGCATACAAATATACAATAGGTACATACTACGCATTTCATTGATAAAAGACGATGTACGTATTTAGGGTTCCGTAGCAAATTGACTAAAATGGAAATCGTTATTATAACCATAGAGAATATTGGGTATAGATGTTTTTCTTGGTCTCTCATACTCGAGAGATCTTTTTTCAAGAGCATACGACATTTATAAAGAAACAAAAATTAACCAAATTATTATTGTAGTTGCAAATCCCGAGTACTAATATGTTATTAAGGAGTTAGGGCTATTACGTTACTGCCTCATCTCACCCTTCAACCGAAGCACAAGTAACTTAAAGGAAGCTACTTGGCGATCGGATAGATGAACCAGAGGTACTAGACGAATTTATGCAAAGTCAAGGTAGACTAGTAATGAAACTCTGTTTAATTTGACAAAAGATAGTTCACGATGGACATTAGTATTGGGAATTAGTTTTTTTTTTAATTCTCATTGGTTATGTTTATTCACTAGGTACTTCAGTCGTGATTTGATACAGCAAAAGTTTTAATGGTTTAAAGTGTTACTCTGGAGGGGATGCTAAGTTAACTAGTGACCGCATTGTTTGTACAATACCAACTTGACCTCCACGCAGTAGATACTACCGTTGTTATATATTTTACTTAATTCAGGCCACATGACCCATAATATAAATACCTTATGTTATAACATACATAAGAAATAATAATAATCTGTGCTAACATAGTCTTTGATCTATGATTGTAAGAAACAATCTTACGTTGTCTGTACAAAAATTGTGATAAAACATATAATTAATAAATTCGTTACCAGAGTTTCTGCTTTTATTAAGAGGCCTAACAGATTTCATCACAGCGGACCTACTGACCTGACTTCATGTTCATCAGTGTATATCACTAGAGCACGTAGGTACACCATTCGGAGTTAAAACTCATGCTGTCCAAACAGATTTGTTTATTTACTGACCTGTCGTGTTTAACAATATGTACTTAAAAAGATCATGTCTGATTGTTTGCGATCGCAAATAGCCCTTTACTTTATTTAAAAATAAAATTTCAAATTTCAAATTTCGAACGTCAGGCACAGAACATCGATGATATTTTATATACCATTTTGCACTCCTTCTCGAACATTCCGTGGCGTCACTATTAAAATCAACGTACAATACAATCTAAATATTCTTTTTATTTAAATTTAAAACATATCAACCACTGCAATATTCCTCCAGCAAACATTTTGGTCCCAACGAGTCGGATTAACTAGTGCATTCAGTGAAATACATATATATCTACAATAATTAATATTTATTCAATATATCTGCAATACGATCGTCATTACGTAATAAAATGGCGGAGGAATATTCTAGAACAAAAGCACAACGCAACGCAATAAAAGGACGAATAACTAGAATATATAATTTTGTACAACAACAAAAGGAAGGATTCGATATCAACGAATATATTACACGCAACGCGGAACTTGAGAAGTTAATGGAAAGGTATGATGAACTTCAGACATTAATTGAGATGAAGGACGATGGAAACCAGGATGGAGACCAGTCAGCTGCAAATGAAGAGGACCGGAGCGCGGTTGAGACTAGGTATTATACAACAAGAGCGGCACTACAAAAAGTTATTGATGCCCACCGACTGCCTACAAGCGGATCAAGCTTTTCAAGTGCCCCATCATACGACCGCCACATCAGTAATGACGTACTTCTTCCCAAGCTCTCCTTACCAACCTTCGAAAGCAAGATATCCGAGTGGCCGACCTTCAAGAACATCTTCATGACGACAATTGGTAGCAGCAACATGTCACCCGCAAGGAAACTTCAATTCCTGAAAACGGCGCTTAAAGGAGAGGCAGCTGGTTTAGTAAGCGCATTGTTTATTTCTGACGACAATTTTCAAAAAGCTATGGACATATTGATTACCAGGTATGAGAACAAAGTTATCGTAGTAAACACACATTTAAAATCATTTCTCAATCACATAACTATCACTCGAAATAATTTAAAAGAGTTCCTTAACATCTTACAACAAAGCCTAGATTCTCTAAATGCTCTGGATATTAACACGGATAGCTGGGATGTCCTGTTAGTCTTCTTAATTACTCAGAAGCTAGACAGTTCATTACGTACATCGTGGGAACTGAGCAGAAAGGATAACAATCTACCTACACTTAAGGAGCTGTTACAATTCTTGAATTTGCGAATGACGTCATATGATCTTATTAATGACAAAGGAAGTGATAGCAAGCCTCAAACTAGTTCAAAACCTAAGGTATCGTATAACGCATCTGTCATTACCTGCGATAGTGTGTGTGTTATGTGTAAAGGTGAACACTTTCTACATAAATGTCCACAGTTCATGCAATTGTCTCCGGTGCAACGTAACGAGTATGTTAAAACTAATACTCTTTGCTTCAATTGTTTAAAGCCTTATAAGTTTAATCATAGATGTTCAAAACATAAATGTCTTACTTGTCGTGGCCGACATCATACTATGTTGCATATGCAAAGCCGTGCGATATTAGTTAACTCATTAATTTCTCAATCTAATAATATTGAACAACCATCAACGCCTGCACCTGTGCCAATTTTACCGCCCGCACCTGCAGCACCCACTATGACAGCGCCCGCGGCCTCCGTGCCCACTGTGCCTGCCCTCAACTGTAACTTAACCCCTCAACTGACGCCGACATACAGTGACCACGTTGACAACAGACCTCCTGTTGTTCACACAACTCATACGAGTACTAACAGTAACATACATGTACTGTTATCTACAGCTATCATAAGGATTCAAGATGCGACTGGACAGTGGCACACTGCTCGAGCCCTCTTGGATTCCGGCAGCGAGGTAAACCTCATTACAAGCAGGTTAGCGCTCAAACTTAAGTGTAAACAGGATAGTACTCTCAATTCTATTTTAGGTATTGGTGCATCTCACCAACAATCAAATGTTTGTATTAAAACAAACATTGCATCACGCACGAGTAATTTTATTGCCAATATCACATGCTTAGTTATGGACAAGATTACCGTACCTCTACCTCACTTTTACGTCCATACTGACAATTGGAACATACCTAAACTACAAGCTCGCACACTGGCAGATCCTACTTTTCACACACCTAGTGAGATTGATATACTTATAGGTTGTCAATTATTTTATTCCATTATTACACAAGGTCACATGACTCTAGGTGTAAATTTACCACATTTAATTAATTCTGTATTCGGTTGGATTATTTCTGGCACTTTTGTTATTGATAAACAAGCAGTCTATTGTACATCTATGATTCTCGACTCTCAACAAATTAGTCTACTTTCAATTGATAATAGTTGTGATAAGATTTTATCACGTTTTTGGGAACAGGAAGAGGTTGTTAATAATAAGCCAATATTTACTCCTGACCAACTCTACTGTGAGCAGTTGTTTCAGGACACGACAACTGTAGATAATAGTGGTCGATACACCGTTAACATGCCCATTAATGAGGGATTAATCAGTAATTTAGGAAACTCATTTAACACGGCATACCGTTGTTTATTACAATTAGAGGCAAGGTTTCTCAAAGATCCTAATTTATACACAAACTATAAAAATTTTATTAATGAGTTTTTAGAATTAGGTCATGCAGAGGTCATTCAAGGTGATTTTATGTCACATGGGAAGTACCCAACTTATTTTTTACCGCATCACGCAGTGATAAAGCCTGATAATATTACGACTAAATTAAGGACTGTTTTTAACGCTAGCGCTAAGAGTTCCACAGGCGTTTCCCTTAACGATATTTTGTTTGAAGGTCCTAATATCTATAACGATGTATTAGATATTATTCTACGGTACAGAATGTATATGTTTGTATTTTCAACTGACATAATCAAAATGTTCAGAAAAATATTGGTAAACCCTGATCAACGCTCTTTACTACGAATTTTATGGAGGGATGATAGATCCACGCCGCTTGTTTGCTTGCAGCTCAAAACAGTTACATATGGTACTAAATGCGCGCCATATTTAGCATGTCGTACTCTCAAAGATTTGGCTGAACGATTTAAGGATACATATCCTCAGGCTGCTCAATGTATACAGGAGAACTGTTATATGGACGATATTATCTCTGGAGGAGATGATATAGAGTCGGTAAAAAACTTGTGTGATGAAATTATTGCGCTTCTAGGTAACGGTGGTTTTCAATTGCACAAATGGTCCTCTAACAATAAACAGATTCTTCAGTATGTAACACGTGACACTGACATGCCTTCCTACGATTTTTCACCAGAATGTTTTGTTAAGACGTTAGGGTTAAAATGGAGTCCAATTAAAGATTGCCTTACAGTTTCTATTCCTAGTCAAGAAACGACACGTAACACTAAACGAACGGTATTATCACGTATAGCTCAAATTTTTGACCCTCTTGGATTGTTAGCTCCAGTCATCATTAATGCTAAGATATTAATGCGTAGTTTGTGGAGCACAGGTTTAGAATGGGATAGCCTCTTGCCTTCTGAAATAGAAAGCAAGTGGATCGACTTTATTGAAAATATACAGTCCTTAAATGAATTGAAAATCCCACGATATTATTTTTCTGATATCCCCTTAGAAATTATGCTTTTAGGATATGGAGATGCATCATCTCAAGCTTACGGTGCATGTGTGTACCTTCGTGCTACATATTCCAATAGGAAACCTACGTGCACACTAGTGATGGCTAAGACTAAAGTAGCCCCCATTAAAACATTGACAGTGGCGAGACTAGAGTTGTGCGCCGCACTATTATTAGTACGAATTGTTAGAAAAGTAAAAACTATTTTATATAAATTTAATATAGCCTATACGTACTTATTCTCAGATTCTTCTATAGTCCTCTATTGGTTAAAATCTCCATACAAGAAATATAATGTTTTTATATCAAACAGGTTGACTGAGATATTAGAGTCATCAAGTTTAGATAACTGGCGTTATATAAATACTAAGCAAAATCCCGCGGATTTACTCACTCGTGGTATTAGAACAGACGAATTATTGTCGTCTTATTTATGGTGGCATGGACCCAATTGGATCTACGACGATACCAGTGAGTGGCCCATTTCTACGCCACAGTTACTTTCAGAACAGGACAGTAACTTAGAATTAATTGAAGTTAAAACACAAACCGCGCATACAGTAACTATACCTTCTACATTATACTTAGATTATTTTTGTAAGTATTCTAATTTTACTAAACTAAATAGAGTTATGTCATACGTATTTAGATTTATCAAAAATACCCGCAGTAAAGAAAGAGACCGTCACTATCTTTCAGTGTCTGAGTTAGATTTTTCGCATAATTTTATTATTCGAATGTTACAAGAACATTACTTTAGTAAAGAAAGGAAAGAATTAGCAACCTTACAAAATACAAACACATTTACTTTTAAAAGTAGCCCATTACGAAAGCTTAATCCTTTTCTAGACGATGTAGGTATTATTCGTGTTGGCGGAAGGATTAAACATTCAAATATTCAATACAATCATGCACACCCTATCATTTTACCGTCACAGTCACACATTACATCCTTGATCATAGAACAGTATCACTACAGACTTTTACACTCGGGCATACAAAACACTCTTGCCAATCTAAGACTGCGATACTGGCCTATAAATGGTAGAGTCGAAGTTAAAAAGGTGATTCACCGCTGTGTTCGGTGTATAAGGTTTAAAGCGCAAACTTGTGAGCAACAAATGTCTTCGCTGCCGAGTCCCAGAGTATCTCTAGTGCGTGCGTTCACGCAGGTCGGCATTGATTTTAGTGGTGCCATTAATATTAGGAGTAATATGCAACGCAATTGTAAATACACTAAGGGATACATCTGTCTAATAATCTGTTTGGCCACGCGTGCAATTCATTTGGAACTTGTTGGTGATCTGTCCACGCATTCTTTTATCAATGCATTGAAGCGTTTTATATCTAGGCGAGGTATATGCACTAGTATTCAGTCGGACAACGGCACGAATTTTAGAGGTTCACATAATGAATTGAACGTATTATACGAAATGTTCAAAAACGATAAATCATATAGTAATATTGTTAATTTCTGTAGCAATAATAAAATAGAATGGAATTTTACGGTGCCTTTAGCTAGCCACATGGGTGGTATTTACGAAGCAGGCATCAAATCTGTAAAAATTCAAAAGGCAGTTATGTAACAGTAAGTTAACGTATGAGATGCTAAATACTTGTACAAATTGAGGGTATCCTCAATAGTCGTCCGCTGTGTCCTTTGACCGACGAACATTATGATATGCCGTGCTTAACTCCGGCACACTTTCTCATAGGGACGCCTATTGTGGACTTACCAGAACCAAACACATGTAATGTTAACGAAAACAGATTGTCATTGTTTCAAAGGATTACTCGCTTCAAACAAATGTTCTGGAAGCAATTTTATAAACAGTATTTGTCTGAACTACAGGTTAGATCTAAGTGGTTAGGCAAGTGTAATAATCTAGAAGTAGGAAGTGTTGTTTTAATTAAGGACGAGAATACACCACCAGCCTGTTGGCCGCTTGGCAAAATTGTTCAAGTCTACAAAAATAGTAGTGATAACTTGGTTCGGTCTGCAATTATAAAAACTGCCACTGGGGAATATCACCGTCCTATACACAAGCTTGTACTATTACTAGTTGTATTTGTAACTTATACTTATAATTTTTAACATTAAGTTTATGTAAATACAGTCCACACAATAATTGTAATTTCTTTTTACTATGCAGCTATTTGTATTCTTTATAAGTCTATTATAAGCTAATGTAACCTATGCTTGACGATTAACATTAAGTAGTGCTAAGGGAACTTCGTTAGGCCGGGAGCATGTTTGCGATCGCAAATAGCCCTTTACTTTATTTAAAAATAAAATTTCAAATTTCAAATTTCGAACGTCAGGCACAGAACATCGATGATATTTTATATACCATTTTGCACTCCTTCTCGAACATTCCGTGGCGTCACTATTAAAATCAACGTACAATACAATCTAAATATTCTTTTTATTTAAATTTAAAACATATCAACCACTGCAATATTCCTCCAGCAAACACTGATTATGAAGCGAGTTGACTTTGGCATATTTGTAATTATAATAGTGTATTTACACGCATAAATCTTTTATTAGGTATTCAGAAAAGATAGCTTAGCTTATCTTTGTTTGCTCTAATGTTCTGATTGCCATTGTTTGCTCAGCTCATAAGATTTGTGCGATTTGTAAACGATGACTAAATAAGAAATTAAGGATAGTTAAGTGCATATTTTAATGCGACACGTGTTGTATTAATATGAATAAACAACAGAACTGAAACAAAAGCTTGTAAATATAGACGTTTGCCAACTGCAACCAGAGAGACATGTGTCTACAACAGACGCTTGCATATTCTACTCATAGGACAATGTATAGTTTCTTTATTGAATGATAATGAAACAGTGCTCCTGTTTGTGCTAACGGTTTACGCTGGCAGAGCAGCAGTGGAGGTTCACAAGATGAACATGACATAAGGTCAGTTAGCCCATCATTGCAAATTCTCCAGGAATTTATCACGATGGTTTCAAGGGGGAACCGCATGGAGATCAACCTGACATGGTACATTGCTAGCAATGGGATCAGTAGTCCACATTATTAATAAAGACAACATCGAACAATATGAATTACAATAAGTTTTTTTTTTAAATATTCCAATACTGTTGGCCACATCTGGCATTAACTGCTTCACCGAACGATAGAAGGCCTCTGCACTCGCAGAGGGCACTCCAAACCCGCGGAAAGACTTATGGAGCAGCTCCAAGTTATGACGGCCAGAGCCGGGGTTCGAACCCTTAGCAGTTGAATCCCCGTTTGAATTAGACTAGGGATTGATCGGAAGTCAAAAGTTATCACACTAAATACTGGCTAGTGGGGGGGGAGGTAATTGGTAGTAATGTGGATTCATGACCTCATTACTAGCAATGTACCATGTTAGGTTGACCCCCACGCGGTTCCCCCTGGAAACCATCGTGATGAATTCCTGGTGTATTTGTCACGATGGGCTAACTGACCTGACCTCATGTTCATTTTCCACTGGTGCCCCGCCAGCGTAAACCGTTAGCGCAGTCGGGTGCACCATTCCATAATCACCCATAAAAAAAATATTGGCTAGTTGGTGGTCAATTATTATAGTAGAGTTTACTTTTAGAAAAAAATTTGGTAGCATTTTTAAAATTCGGATCAGTCTTTTTAGAGGTTTCGAATTAGAACATTATAGCATATACCTGTACGTACCTATAGAGAATGTCGACCGAGGGCGACTGCTCATTAAGCGCTTTATGTAGCAACATTCAGCTTGGCATGACCTTGTGAGGGGACAGTTTCTGTGATTACGACGGACCGGCGAAGTCGGTTTGTTTATTTACTGATATCGATTATCGGACATTGGGAAAGAAACTTTAGATGTTACTACGACCATATAAATATATTAAGTAATTATTATTTACCTTGTTATCTGTAAACTATAAATAAAACGATCTTAAATTAATGTGTAAAGTATTTTTAACAGATGTAGCTTCGCACATGTGATAAAAAATATTTTTTGTGTATCTACATATTATAGTCATAATATGACTTATATACACTCGATACTCGTGTATATACAGAAAACACAAGAGATAGAGATAAAGCTATTGAGGTACTGCCAATGTCACACAAACTCTATATTACCAGAATACTAAAATTAAAAATAAAAGAAAAACAAAATACATTGCTAATTAACGTCAAATAACTAGGTAAAATAGTCCTTATGGTCAAACATCACAGGACTCAATATTAGCAGAAAAGTAAAAGTAAAAATAAAAGAAATACAAAAACAAATTGCCACTAAACATCAAACAACTGGGCAAACCAGTACCAATGTCAAAACAACACGACATTTTACATTAACAGAATACAAATAAAAAAAGAAAAATAAAAGTACATTACTACTTCATGTCGAATAACTATAATAATGGAGCAAATTATCAAACAAGACCAGACTTTAATTAAAAGAAAACTAAAAGTGAAAAGAAGAGAGAAACAAAAGTAAATGCTACTTTATGTCAAGTATGCGTGATAGAGCAAATGGTAACACACTAGACCAGTGTTTCCCAACGTGAGAACCACGTCCCGCAGGGCGGCCGGCAATTTGTAAATTTATTTATTGTCAATATACATATGCTTTGAAAATTTACTTAAGGAATTATTAACATTTTGCTAGTGATTTCAAAAACCTATTATTTCAATTATTTTTTATGATACCAATAAATTATGTATGTTACATTGGTGAGGTGCATAAGAATTTTAAAAAGGCTAAGTGGAATGGCATTGCTCTAAAAAGGTTGAGAAACACTGCACTAGACTCTACATTCACAGAATAATAAAAGTAAAACAAAGTAAAGTAAATATTTAACGTTTATCCATTTTGTATTACAAACGGCTGCAAGACGTCACAGAAGGAATATTGACTTTCAGAAAACAATAGATCATGCCTGCGCTCTATAATGAACCCCATTACTCGGTCAGACCATGACTAATGGCGCCTATAACGATGCCCTGAGCATACACGGAGCCTGCGATAGTCGTAACGATCCGTCATAATCGCAAATAATCACAAAAAGTTTTATTTACTCTTTGTTCAAACGCCACAAGTATTTATATACTATTTTTTTGTCATTTTGATATACAGTTCAAGTTCACGATCTTAATTTGTAGAACCTACAAGTAATTAACATATTTGAACGTTATAAATTTTGCGTAATTTAGAGTCTAATACACATTCTCACATTATCAATAAAATTCCCAAATACTTTGTTAGTTAGTGCAATATAGAATAAAAAAGAAGGAAATTTAGTAATCTATAAATTGTTTTATACTACAAATATTTAATAAATATATATTTTTTAAAGTAATTTTAAATTGTCCAATGTCATCAGTGAGTGAATTTGTTTATTAGGATGTTGTATTCTTACATAAATATAATTATATTACCACTGGGTAAACAATTGGTAAAATGTATTTATTGATTTATCCAAGAAATACATTGCTCGGTGTATAACGGTCTTAAGACTTATATGTATATTATATATAATACACACTCGGCACGTAACCATACATCGTGTATACGATTGCCACGTTATTGACATAATTATATTAGAAGTGGTGATAATAAATAAATAGTTTTACTGCAACATTATCCCTATAAACGAGTTATAGACGTCTATTTATGAAAGCTGTGTCTCGTCATCCTTCGTCCGCGTAAAATGACGATACTTCCATATAACCTTTCATATCCCCTTTCAACCCCTTGCAACTCTTTTTTGCACTAAAAAGTAAAGCCTATGTCCTTTGTCAGGGTCTAGACTATCTGTGTACCAAATTTCATTTAAATCGGTTCAATGGTTTCGGCGTGAAAGCGAGAGAAACAGAGTTACTTTCGCATTTATAAATTAGTAAGGATGTACTGTGTTTTGTTATGGTATTCAAACATATATATAGGTGGGGGGAAAACCGATTGTTAGTAATGTGGATTGATGATCTTATTGCAGCAATGTACCATGTCAGATTGACTTCCATGCGGTTCCCCCATGTGATAATTTTTTGGCAAATTTGACTAACTAACTAACCTGACCTCATGCTCATCTTATCATCCTCCACTTTTTTAGACATGACAAATACATAAAACCTAACCTAATTACAAAGTAAAACAAGTTTGCCACTGCATGTTTTGATTTTATATTTTATTTTTAAAAAGTCTGTCGGTGTCTGTTCACTTATGATGTAGGTTCTCCGACATTTTTATAATGTAAGTAGATACCATTATATAGTATTTCATCATCATCATTATTACATAGTATAAAACAAAGTCGCTGTCGCTGTCTGTCCCTATATATGCTTAAATCTTTAAAACTACGCAACGGATTTTGAAGCGGTTTTCTTTAATAGATGGAGTGATTCAAGAGGAAGGTTTATACATATAATACATGTACACCCGTGCGAAGCCGGGGCGAGTAGCTACCTAGTTTATTTATAAAAAACAATGGTTTTGTTGCGAATGGCGTTACTAACATCGCGCGACTACACTGTTGCCATGTGTTATGACGCGAACAAGAAAAATAACAGCCTCGTCATTCGGGACCGTATCTCTTATAT